ACTGTCCTTTAACCCACTAAACATGTCGCTCATCATTGGGTCGCTTTTGCCACCACGTAGGACTGTCCTTTAACCCACATTAAACCTCTATTAAGCTGCCATTAGGTCACTTTGCTCCTACATGGACTGTCCTTTAACCCAAATTAAACATGTCACTGTCATTAGTCACTTTGCTCCTACATGGGACTGTCCTTTAATCCATTACATGTCACTCATTAGGTCACTTTGCTCCTACATGGGACTGTTCCTTTAACCCATTAAACATGTCGCTGTCATTAGCTCACTTTGCTCCTACATGGGACTGTCCCTTTAACCCATTAAACATGTCGCTGTCATTAGGTCACTTTGCTCCTACATGGGACTGTCCCTTTAACCCATTAAACATGTCTCTGCCATTAGGTCACTTTGCTCCTACATGGGACTGTCCCTTTAACCCATTAAACATGTCGCTGTCATTAGGTCACTTTGTTCCTACATGAGACTGTCCCTTTAACCCATTAAACATGTCACTGCCATTAGGTCACTTTGCTCCTACATGGGACTGTCCCTTTAACCCATTAAACATGTCGCTGTCATTAGGTCACTTTGTTCCTACATGGGACTGTCCCTTTAACCCATTAAACATGTCGCTGTCATTAGGTCACTTTGTTCCTACATGGGACTGTCCCTTTAACCCATTAAACATGTCACTGTCATTAGGTCACTTTGCTCCTACATGGGACAGTCCCTTTAACCCATTAAACATGTCGCTGTCATTAGGTCACTTTGTTCCTACATGGGACTGTCCCTTTAACCCATTAAACATGTCGCTGTCATTAGGTCACTTTGTTCCTACATGGGACTGTCCCTTTAACTCATTAAACATGTCACTGTCATTAGGTCACTTTGTTCCTACATGGGACTGTCCCTTTAACCCATTAAACATGTCGCTGTCATTAGGTCACTTTGTTCCTACATGGGACTGTCCCTTTAACCCATTAAACATGTCACTGTCATTAGGTCACTTTGCTCCTTCATGGGACTGTCCCTTTAACCCATTAAACATGTCACTGTCATTACTTTGCTCCTACATGGGACTGTCCCTTTAACCCATTAAACATGTCACTGTCATTAGGTCACTTTGCTCCTACATGGGACTGTCCCTTTAACCCATTAAATATATCACTGTCATTAGGTCACTTTGCTCCTACAAGGGACTGTCCCTTTAACCCATTAAACATGTCACTGTCATTAGGTCACTTTGCTCCTACATGGGACTGTCCCTTTAACCCATTAAACATGTTACTGTCATTAGATCACTTTGCTCCTATATGGGACTGTCCCTTTAACCCATTAAACATGTCACTGTCATTAGGTCACTTTGCTCCTACATGGGACTGTCCCTTTAACCCATTAAACATGTCACTGTCATTAGGTCACTTTGCTCCCACATGGGACTGTCCCTTTAACCCATTAAACATGTCACTGTCATTAGGTCACTGCTCCTATATGGGACTGTACCTTTAACCCATTAAACATGTCGCTGTCATTAGGTCACTTTGCTCCTACCTGGGACTGTCCCTTTAACCCATTAAACATGTCGCTGTCATTAGGTCACTTTGCTCCTACATGGGACTGTCCATTTAACCCATTAAACATGTCACTGTCATTAGGTCACTTTGTTCCTACATGGGACTGTCCCTTTAACCCATTAAACATGTCACTATCATTAGGTCACTTTGTTCCTACATGGGACTGTCCCTTTAACCCATTAAACATGTCACTGTCATTAGATCACTTTGTTCCTACATGGGACTGTCCCTTTAACCCATTAAACATGTCGCTGTCATTAGGTCACTTTGCTCCTACATGGGACTGTCCCTTTAACCCATTAAACATGTCACTGTCATTAGGTCACTTTGTTCCTACATGGGACTGTCCCTTTAACCCATTAAGCATGTCACTGTCATTAGATCCTTTGTTCCTACATGGGACTGTCCTTTAACCCATTAAACATGTAAACTGTCGTGGGTGCACAACTACTGCGGATATCCCTTTAACATTAAACGTAACCGCTGCCAATTAGGTCACTTTGCTCCTACATGGGACTGTCCCTTTAACCCATTAAACATGTCACTGTCATTAGGTCACTTTGCGCCTACATGGAACTGTCCCTTTAACCCATTAAACATGTCACTGTCATTAGGCCACTTTGCTCCTACATGGGACTGTCTCTTTAACTCATTAAACATGTCGCTGCCATTAGATCACTTTGCTCCTACATGGGACTGTCCCTTTAACCCATTAAACATGTCACTGTCATTAGGTCACTTTGCTCCTACATGGGACTGTCCCTTTAACCCATTAAACATGTCACTGCCATTAGGTCACTTTGCTCCTACATGGGACTGTCCCTTTAACCCATTAAACATGTCACTGTCATTAGGTCACTGTGCTCCTACATGGGACTGTCCCTTTAACCCATTAAACATGTCACTGTCATTAGGTCACTGTGCTCCTCCATGGGACTGTCCCTTTAACCCATTAAACATGTCACTGTCATTAGGTCACTTTGCTCCTACATGGGACTGTCCCTTTAACCCATTAAACATGTCACTGTCATTAGGTCACTTTGCTCCTACATGGGACTGTCCCTTTAATCCATTACACATGTCACTCATTAGGTCACTTTGCTCCTACATGGGACTGTCCCTTTAACCCATTAAACATGTCTCTGCCATTAGGTCACTTTGCTCCTACATGGGACTGTCCCTTTAACCCATTAAACATGTCTCTGCCATTAGGTCACTTTGCTCCTACATGGGACTGTCCCTTTAACCCATTAAACATGTCTCTGCCATTAGGTCACTTTGTTCCTACATGGGACTGTCCCTTTAACCCACATTAAACATGCCATTTTGTCATTTAGGTACTTTGTTTCCTGCAGGACTGTGCTAACCATTCGGCGTATGCGCCATTAGGTCACTTTATCACCATGGGACTGTCCTTTAACCCATTAAACGTAATGGCTGTCATTAGGTCACTTTGTTCCTACATGGGACTGTCCCTTTTAACCGGTCCGGCAATAATGGCTGTCATTGGGTGCTTTGTTTTCCTACATGGGACAGTCCCTTTAACCCATTAAACATGTCGCTGTCATTAGGTCACTTTGTTCCTACATGGGACTGTCCCTTTAACCCATTAAACATGTCGCTGTCATTAGGTCACTTTGTTCCTACATGGGACTGTCCCTTTAACTCATTAAACATGTCACTGTCATTAGGTCACTTTGTTCCTACATGGGACTGTCCCTTTAACCCATTAAACATGTCGCTGTCATTAGGTCACTTTGTTCCTACATGGGACTGTCCCTTTAACCCATTAAACATGTCACTGTCATTAGGTCACTTTGCTCCTTCATGGGACTGTCCCTTTAACCCATTAAACATGTCACTGTCATTACTTTGCTCCTACATGGGACTGTCCCTTTAACCCATTAAACATGTCACTGTCATTAGGTCACTTTGCTCCTACATGGGACTGTCCCTTTAACCCATTAAACATATCACTGTCATTAGGTCACTTTGCTCCTACAAGGGACTGTCCCTTTAACCCATTAAACATGTCCCTGTCATTAGGTCACTTTGCTCCTACATGGGACTGTCCCTTTAACCCATTAAACATGTCCCTGTCATTAGATCACTTTGCTCCTACATGGGACTGTCCCTTTAACCCATTAAACATGTTACTGTCATTAGGTCACTTTGCTCCTACATGGGACTGTCCCTTTAACCCATTAAACATGTCCCTGTCATTAGGTCACTTTGCTCCTACATGGGACTGTCCCTTTAACCCATTAAACATGTCACTGTCATTAGGTCACTTTGCTCCTACATGGGACTGTCCCTTTAACCCATTAAACATGTCACTGCCATTAGGTCACTTTGCTCCTACATGGGACTGTCCCTTTAACCCATTAAACATGTCGCTGTCATTAGGTCACTTTGCTCCTACATGGGACTGTCCCTTTAACCCATTAAACATGTCACTGTCATTAGGTCACTTTGCTCCTACATGGGACGGTCCCTTTAACCCATTAAACATGTCGCTGTCATTAGGTCACTTTGCTCCTACATGGGACTGTCCATTTAACCCATTAAACATGTCACTGTCATTAGGTCACTTTGTTCCTACATGGGACTGTCCCTTTAACCCATTAAACATGTCACTATCATTAGGTCACTTTGTTCCTACATGGGACTGTCCCTTTAACCCATTAAACATGTCACTGTCATTAGATCACTTTGCTCCTACATGGGACTGTCCCTTTAACCCATTAAACATGTCGCTGTCATTAGGTCACTTTGCTCCTACATGGGACTGTCCCTTTAACCCATTAAACATGTCACTATCATTAGGTCACTTTGTTCCTACATGGGACTGTCCCTTTAACCCATTAAACATGTCACTGTCATTAGATCACTTTGTTCCTACATGGGACTGTCCCTTTAACCCATTAAACATGTCGCTGTCATTAGGTCACTTTGCTACTACATGGGACTGTCCCTTTAACCCATTAAACATGTCGCTGTCATTAGGTCACTTTGCTCCTACATGGGACTGTCCCTTTAACCCATTAAACATGTCACTGTCATTAGGTCACTTTGCTCCTACATGGGACTGTCCCTTTAACCCATTAAACATGTCACTGTCATTAGGTCACTTTGCTCCTACATGGGACTGTCCCTTTAACCCATTAAACATGTCGCTGCCATTAGGTCACTTTGTCCCTTTAAAGCACTAATATAACTAACAGTTAAATATCCACCAAAATGGAACATTTTTTTTTCCACATACATGAGATGATTTTAGAAATATACCATTCCTGTATAAACCTCCTGGGTTTTTTTTCCCCCTATTTTTCCCCAATCTTTCTTTATGTTTCAGCTGAAATTTTCCTAGATTCTCCTTGATTGACGAGTGACGTAGGCAGAGGGGAGTGTTTGAGCGTTGCTGAGCAGGGAAGGCAGGGCTGCCGGAGTGGGTGAGATACACACAGGCAGATGCTGAGGAGAACAGGATTGTAAAGCTGCATTATGTAGCGACGAGTGTGCTGCGAGAAAGGGAGAGAGAGAGAGAGAGAGAGAGATCAAGGAGGAGGAGGAGAGAGAGACAGCAAACCTTGCCAGGTAAACATCTCTGTTTCCTATTAACAATCCATCCCTCCCGCATTGATAAGGAATGAGTGGATCCCTGCAGAGAGAAGCTGAATATTGCTGGTAATCTGTGCTGTATACTGACTGGATGCACAGAACCTGCCAGGGTTATTGAAGCACCTTCCTGCTGCTCTGGATGGACTTCTTGGAAGGTCTGAATATGTGAAGATCCAGGGCAGGGATACGTTGTAGCTGTGGTACAGGGCAGGGATACGTTGTAGCTGTGGTACAGGGCAGGGATACATTGTTGCTGTGTATATTCCTATGTCTATGGAAGAACCCATCTCTCTCCAGGGTTGGATTACAAGGATGGCTTGTGTTTGGCAAGAGAAAGAACATCAAATGGTCTTTTAGGTGGCTTTTGCTTTGGAATGTCATCTCCTGGGTGGTTCTTTAAAAAATTGATACCCTACAACCTCCGCCATTGGATACCCAGCCTGGTTGACAACTTACCCACGGCTGGTGGAGACGGCGGACCCACCAGGTCTTGGCTTTGGTTTGCTCTGGGTTTTCCGGGTTTTTGGGGCGTTGGAAAGAGTCCCGGACATTTAGGAAAGCGGGATTTAACACCGTAAGTTTGTTTCTAAAAAACTGAAATAAAAGGAAGAAAAAATTTAAAAAGGAGGATTGTGGGAAAGAAGATGGGAATTTGGGGTTCTGACTGAAATGCTAAACAAACTCCTCTCCAGATTAATCGAAGGAGGCTGTCGTTCAACCAAGGATCTTTACTGTCTATGAAGGGGGCAGGTAATGCTTGTTTTCAACTCTTTTGTATGAAAACGCTTTGTGCTTGTACTGGAGGTCATAGTCCTCCTAATGTTCAAAGAGATAAATTGAGATGGGGAGGTTAATAAATCCAATGTTCTGTAGAAAAGGAGTGGTGGCCACATGGCTCAGCCACCCAAGGCAGATGATCCCAAGGCAGACAACAGAAAAAGGGCATTCAAATATTATTTTCTAAAAGCACAGAATGACAATCTGTTATATATTGTATAGTGTAGATAAGGTAGTTATTGTTATGATTGAATGGACCGTGTTTTTTATATATATATATTTATTTATTTATTTATTTGAGATTATTTTTGTGATTACTGCAGTGACTAAAAGTAGCAACCCCCCCCCCCCCACAATTTTTTTTATTTATTTTTTACCTAAATTGTAAAGTATACTGATGATGGCTCATTGACCTGGTAGAACCGTTGCAGAATCCAAAGTGTGTCTCTTTCTAAGTGTATATATATACCAGTTTATTAATCTATTAATGTATTTATTCCTGGGCTGCGATATCACTGTTATTCAATACTAATTACATTTCCCATATATTAACCGTGTAAGTCTTCTGTTACTAATCATTGAAAATGCTTGATTCCTTTAAATATATTCTCCTTGAAGACACCATGCTTCATCTCTAAGACTACAGAAATATTAGTAGGGAAATGGAGGAGTCTTACGTGATTGGTAATACAGAGGTGTAAGCATATGGACCATGGTACTGGCCAAGAGAAGACCTATAGTGGGGGGGGAGGGGGGGGGCATTTCACGAGGGGGCGTGGGGGTGCAAGACATTGACTATGCGGAAAAGAAGTTAAAGGCATTTTATAGATCATTTTGAATCATTGTCTAAAAGTATTGTATTTATGTATTACATTGAAATGTCCATTGTGCTGTCATTTAAAGAGTTTTTTTATTTACATTTCTGATGAATAGATTGGCGTCCAGAATCTAGAGCAAAAATTACAACACGCTGATTTTAGCTTATCTATGTATCTATCTATCTATCTGTCTATTATCCATCTATCTATCCATCTTATATCTAAGTGTCTATCTATCTATCTATTATCTATCTATCTATCCATATATCCGTCCGTTTATCTATCTATATATCTATCTATCTATCTATTATACATCTATCTATCTTATATCTATCTGTCTTTCTATCTATCTATTATCTATCTATCCATATGTCCATCCATCCGTCTATCTAGCTATTATCTATCTATCTATCTATCTATCTATCTATCCATATATCCGTCCATTTATCTATCTATATATCTATCTAATATCTATCTATCTATTATCTTTCTATCCGTCCGTCTATCTATCTATCTATCTATTATCTATCTATCTATCCATATGTCCATCCATCCGTCTATCTAGCTATTATCTATCTATCTATCCGTCTATCTATCTATCTATCTACCCGTCTAACTATCTATCTATCTATTAGATCTATCTATCTATCTATCTATCTGTCTGTTTATCTATCTATCTATCTATCTATCTATCCATATATCCGTCCGTTTATCTATCTATCTATATATCTATTCATCTATCATCTATCTATCTATCCATATATCCGTCCGTCTATCTATCTATATATCTATCTAATATATATCTATCCGTCTATCTATCAATCTATTTATCTATCTATTATCTATCTATCTGTCTATCTATCTAATATCTATCTATCTATTATCTATCTATCCGTCTATCTATCTATTTATCTATCTATTATCTATCTATCTGTCTATCTATCTGTCTATCTATCTGTCTATCTATTATCTATCCATATATACGTCTATCTATCTATCTATCTATCTATCTATCTCTTGTTAACACATTTACAGATCTATATTTATCTTATACCTTAGTCAATGATACCTTAGACAAGATCCTGTCACATTATGGTAAGAAGAATTCACATGTATCTGTTAGTATTGTAAAGATGAAAATACTTCACACTCAGTTCATTGTAAGATAAATTGTCCGAATGACAAGCTGTGCATTTATGAAATAAATGAATCTCTGGACGTGTGTGCAATACCTGTATCGATTAGTCACACACACACAGATTATATAACTATAGTACCGCAATGTGAAATTGGCCTCTGTAGTTTTTAACACTGCAAATAAAAGAATTCATCGCTTGATGGTTTGTGAATGCCGAGGCTAAAAGCAGAGAGGATCCCATCACAAATGCTGTCTATTGATTTTACCTCACTTTGTCTGATCACATTACAATCTATGGGGGCAGCTCACGGAAACGGGGTGCTCTGTACAAGGATACAGGCAGTGGGTGCTAGGTTGAATAATAGGATCTTGTGGGTAATCTGGAGTTTGGGTGCCAAAGGGGTAATTTGCAGTATGTTGCTTCCACTTACGGTTTGGATCATAGGATGTAATCATTTCTAAGTGTAGAGAAGAGCGATGGTTAACCTTTGACACTGCAGAATTTAAGGACACTGCAGAATTTAAGGGCTCAGCCAGTTTAAATATATCTACAAGCTGATAAAACTATAAATGACCTGCTGGGTATCAGTCGGGTCGTTGGATGAAGGTACAAGTTGAACAGATGTTTAGTGGACTTTCGAATGCCTGTAGCACGTTGGTAACATTGTACTTCTGACTCAATGATGCTGTGAGTATGTGTAAATGATATAAGGAGCAGTGTGGGATATGCTGTATACATGCATCTTATTTAATCAGGTCCCATGGCAGAGAATTGAATAACCTACAGACAAGTAACAAACATTCCTGTATTATCAACACAAATGAATGCATACATTGTTACTCACATCCACAAATATTCACCCCTTCATACAAGCATTACACACAGACACCTCACGCCCACACACTACACACGCATACGCTGTAATAATTGTCATGCTAACGTTGACTAATATTACACAGACACCTTTCTACCCACAACAATATTACCTACACAGCCCTCGCACGCCAACATACAATCCCTCCCAGACACATACTACAATAACACTGTCTCTGACACATATACACATATATTATACATAGCACACACTGTGCTCAAACATACACACACTTTACACTACACACACACTTTGCATTGCCCCCACCAACACACCCACAGCATGCACATATACTACACACGGTACACACCATAAACACACTATAAACAACACACACAGCATACACTGCACACACCATGCACTGCACACTGAACAGACAGTACTGTCCAGAGCGCACACACTGTAGAGCCCACATATGCATACACCCCACTACATGTACAACATACACTGCACGCACACTGTACACAGAACACACACTAGACACATACACTATACACTGCACACACACACACACACTTTTACACAGAACACACACTATACACTGCACATACACACACTGTACACAGAATACACACTAGACACTGCACACAAAAACACTGTCCACATAACACACACTATACACAGCGCGCGCACACTGTCTAGAGAACACACACTATACACTGCACACACACTGTCCACAAAGTACAAACTATACACTGCACACACACACACTGTACACAGAACACACACTATACACAGCACACACACACACACACACACACATTGTACACAGAACACACACTATACACAGCACACACAAACACACACACTGCCCACAGAACACACACTATACACTGCACACACACTTTTACACAGAACACACACTATACACTGTGCATACACACACTGCCCACAGAACACACACTATACACTGCACACACACACTGTACACAGAGCACACACTATACACAGCAGACACACACACTGTACACAGAACACACAATACACTGCACACACACACTGTACACAGAACACACACTATACACAGCGCAAAACACACTGTCCACAGAACACACTATACACAGCGCACACACACACTGTACACAGAACACACACTATACACTGCACACACTAAAAAACACGGCGTACACACTTAACACAGCAGACACACTTACACAAACTATATACAGCGCACAAACATGTATGCATGCACTGTACACAGCACACACACTATATACAAGACACATATGCATAAACACACTCAAACAGCATTGCATTAAAGCATACAGCCACTAAAATAGCTTTTGTGTTAATTTGTGCACAAAAATACATTCTTACTATATGGATACTCTAATCTCTTACACAGTAACAGTACACACACACAACACGCACACAAGGCTGGAGTTGACCTCTTAGATAGACAATGTATATTGAAATAGAATAATACTAACGTTGGAACCTTTCTTATTTGAAATATATCCAGATCTTTGTTTTGACGTTAATGTCTACGTAACGCAGGAATGGCTGACATCTCTTTTAGCCTGGTCCTCCCATAGCTTTCACTCAGCCTGATTTGCCCATGAATGACAGGAATTTGCTCAATTAGTTTTTTTAATTTTTAAAATTGTGATTGAAATCCTGCTACTAGGTCTGTAGAACATCCTGGCAGCTGCTGCACAGCGTGCAGTAATAACTTATAGGAGAACTAAATACATGTCGTAAACTTACTCCCAGCAGGGGATTTAAGGGGTTAATTGCAAAAAATACGAAAATCTGGTTTATTCCAAGTGGAAGAAAGATAGAGAAGATAAACGAATCTGAGGACTATACGTGCTAGAAAAAAATACACAAATAGAGGTATGTCATGGAATAACAATAAACGGACTTCTACTACACACACACACCATCCTTACAGACTAATAATCATACTCATACGTGAAGAATATGTAAACCAACCCTTATATACACAGACACAGACACACACACACACACACCATCCCTACAGACTAATAATCGTACTCATACGTGAGGAATATGTAAACCAACCCTTATATACACAGACACACACACACACACACCATCCTTACAGACTAATAATCATACTCATACGTGAGGAATAATAAACCAACCCTTATATACACAGACACAGACCCACACACACACACACACCATCCTTACAGACTAATTATCATACTCATACGTGAGGAATAATAAACCAACCCTTATATACACAGACACAGACACACACACACACACACCATCCCTACAGACTAATAATCATACTCATATGTAAACCAACCCTTATATATACACAGACATAGACCCCCTCATACATACACAAATAACACAACCTCAGACCCCTTATAAACAAACATGAAGAATAAACACACAGACCCGTACACACTCACACAGTCCCCTTCATACATACACAAAGAACACACACACAGATTAGTCATACACACTAATTATATACACACACACACAGATCTAATAAACATACATGAAGGATACACACACACACACACACACACATACACAGAGCTTTATACACACAAACAGCTTCATGCATGCACAAAGAATTAACAGAGCCCTTATTTAAACTTATAATATGCCCACAGGCCATCAGACAGGAACTAGGTAATAAACGCTCACACGGACACTAACAGTACACACACGTATACACACGCACACTGTCATGGTTTAGCTGCCATGAATCTCTGTCCCAAGCCACCCGGCTGTAAATTTATACTGCCAGTACAACAGCATTAAGATCAAATTTAATCTTGTAACTGCGCACCGGGCATTAAAAATATGGAGTCCACACTCATAACATTGTGAAGGGACATTCGTCACTCCAATGGCGAGACAGGAGTGTGAATATTCAGGATGGATGGTGATATCACACCGTAAATGCTTCCACTTAGATATATAACTATTGACAAATACATATATATTTATTCCCCAGTGGCTGTGCTTTGGGAATACAGAAGCGGGAGTGACCAGAGTATTTCTTGTGCCTGTGAGAAGTATTGAAATCACTAAATTATAACTCAGTGGTGCTGGGTGATAAATTAGGAAAATCACAAATCTGAGGAGATTTATCAAGGCAAAGAGAGAGCTATAGAGAGAGACAGTCTATTGGTTTCCATGGTGACTGCTCCTTATTTAGCACTTAGCCCTATACTAGCGCCGGTTTTTGCCTTAATAAATCAACCCCTCTCTCTTTGAAAATAACGTGCACCTTCCATGACATATTGTCTGTCCAAAGTAAATAATGTAATTCCATCAACAGCCTGCACTAGCTGCATTATCAATTGTTTGTATTTTTTTTCAGTTTACCATTATGCCATTGTAACGGCACTCACAGCATCAAATAATAAAACCGCCGTTTAGTTAATCCTCCCCTCTCACCATAACGCAAGCTTCATTCGTACCAACTCCAATTATACGAAGTGCAAGCAGGGAAATACTCCAATCTCCCGAATGGGACCCGTACGGGTACTTCACTTCCCAATCAGTAAACTCACGAATCACGGCTAACAGCCGAAACCATATATCTCCCAAGCGGCTAATAATTCCATCCGGCAGTCGCTATTCGTGTGTAGTAAATTCCCCTCCAATAACGAGACCAAGCTGCGCATTGAGGGTAAAACATGAACTGGGTTTACTGTGGGCTACCCGCCCGTATTTATGCAGGTCTCCCACTTGGTGGACACTCCCCTAGGGGACCAAATGGGAGACTGTAATGGCAGATGGACATACAGCATTTCAGGACACACAGGCACATAATATTCCCAGCATGCATCATGGTTTCCTCCCCTCTGCCCTGGAGATAATTGAGAAGTAATTCAATTATCTCCCAGGACAGAGGCAAATCGCCATTTTAGATGCGACCCAAAAAACACATAAAAATATATAATTTTACAACTACCGAACATTTCCCATTCGTGTAACGTATCCCCAGATAGCCTGGATCTGAGTGCATATTATTGGCGAATAGCGCTCAGATCCCAGACGCACAGTTCAATCGCCATGGAGTCAAAGTCTGGTACAGTCATTCGGTATGCGATTGACTCCATGGGAAGGCTATCTGGGTTAAGTCCCTTGGTGCGGTTCAAAACTCCCGAACGGCCGGTGTTCGCATGCTTTAGTCGATGGAGAAGGGAGGTCGGTGGTTTTAGCGGTGTTCGGCAGAAAAAGTGTCCTTTTTCAGTTCCATAGAATCTATCCAGAACACCGCTGGTCTTTCGCATGTTTTAAAATGGCCGCCGCCTCGTGGTCGACATACGAACGACGACCACCCTGTATTCGGTTATAATTGAGAGGTGTCTGCGGTTAACCACAACGTTCTAATTGGGATCAAGAGGTTAACCAGCAGCACACTTCTCTTCTGGGTGGCCTTCTTTTCTATAAGTTCATTCGGTAGTAAAGTCAAATAAACGAACAGGGGCATACGGACAGGTAATTCCACGAAAAGAGGCAAAACAGACAAACCAGCAATCTTAGTCTATACAGATGGATCTGTCACAGCCATTGACAGACCCTGAAAACACTTCACCTCACTGACTGCATCCTCTTTCTTCATTTTACAAAAAGTGGAGATTTCAATAGAAATTGGCACTTTTATAATCTTACATTGTCCTGGTTTTGTTAGCTCAGGGGAGATAAACTCAAGAGGCAGATATTGTCCAGAGCACCTGCCTTGCAAAGACTTCTCATTGAGCTGCATTGGGAAGTCTGTGATTGGACAGCCACAGAAAGTGTAGGCGGGGTTAGAAGGGGAGGGCTTGCAAAGGCTGCAGACAAGAGATCAGCTTTTGTGAGATGTTTTTAGATATATCTAAAAAAATGCATAATTAAATGTATGCATGGATTAATTGGATGTTTATCTACTAAACACTATTTTTTAATTCTTTTTTATTTAATATGAAATCAAACATCAACAAATTTGGCAACATAGGCAAAAGCAGGCACAGCTGTTTTAGTCCCACGTAATTGAACAGAATCCAACCAATAAAATTGAGCAAATGCATGAAGGACATTGTAAGGAACACACGTGTCACTATTGCTGTGTGGTTACAGGTGCAGCCATCTTAATAAAGGAGGCAGTGATGGCCGGGTACATCATTCAAACTTTACATTTTGGGGGATTTTGTAATATAAAGATTTCATGTATATCTTCCTGAAGCTCGCCTTTTCAGTCTCACATTTTGCCATAAAGGTTGTTTTTTATTAGATTCTAAATAAGTTATTAATTATTTTACAGAGAATGTAATATTTGCCAACAGTTCAACTGCACCAAGGTGGACACTTTCATTTTAGGGGTGTGAGTGGGGTGCAGCCAGGGGTGGGGCTGCTCTGAGAAATTTTAGGTGACATACTAATAACAATTTCTACAATTAAAATGTAATTTAGAACAATGTATCTTATGTACTCAGACTGATTTTTAAACACATTTATTGTAGTTTAAAGACACATTACTGGGAGTATTATTGCTGTGGAGCTCCGTTATACGCTCAGATACATTACTGGGAGTATTATTGTTGTGGAGCTCTGTTATACACTCATACACATTACTGGGAGAATTATTACTGTGGAGCTCTGTTATACACTCAGACACATTACTGGGAGTATTATTGCCGTGGAGCTCTGTTATACATTCAGACACATTACTGGGAGTATTATTGCCGTGGAGCTCTGTTATACACTCAGACACATTACTGGGAGTATAATTGCCGTGGAGCTCTGTTATACACTCAGACACATTACTGGGAGTATTATTGCTGTGGAGCTCTGTTATACACTCAGACACATTACTGGGAATATTATTACTGTGGAGCTCTGTTATACACACAGACACATTACTGGGAGTATTATTGCTGTGGAGCTCTGTTATACACTCAGACACATTACTAGGAGTATTATTGCTGTGGAGCTCTGTTATACACTCAGACACATTACTGGGAGTATTATTGCTGTGGAGCTCTGTTATACACTCAGACACATTACTGGGAGTATTATTGTTGTGGAGCTCTGTTATACACTCAGACACATTACTGGGAGTATTATTGCTGTGGAGCTCTGTTATACACTCAGACACATTACTGGGAGTATTATTGCTGTGGAGCTCTGTTATACACTCAGACACATTACTGGGAGTATTATTGGTGTGGAGCTCCGTTATACACTCAGACACATTACTGGGAGTATTATTGCTGTGGAGCTCTGTTATACACTCAGACACATTACTGGGAGTATTATTGCTGTGGAGCTCTGTTACACAATCAGTCACATTATTGGGAGTATTATCGCTGTGGAGCTCTGTTATACAATCAGTCACATTATTAGGAGTATAGAGGCATTTGGGCACAAAATAGGGACTGTCTCTCCTAAACAGGGACACTTGGGAGGAATGGAATGGAAAGCGAGTAATTTATAACAAATGCAGCAGACAGTTCATTTCCTTACCTTGTCCCTATGACTGTTAGTTATCTTACCTTCCTAAACACAATCTGTAAGTAATAATAATTATACGTAACCAAGATATAGATTTAGCGTTTACGAATATATGTCTTGATGTTATTTTTACCCAACTTAATGGAAGTCATTTTATTGACGCCTGGAAGATGAATCGTTGAGTCCATCCTAACAGGAATCGAACTTGGAGTTTATACATATCCCAATAATAGCGCATCGGTGCACTAACTGCCGGGCTATCCAACCACATATAAGTAGATATTTTAAAATCCCCGGACCCTAAAGGAGGTGCAGTAAATTCCTTGTACGGAATATTCACACGGAAACAGCAGGGAATTCAATGTGTGCAGTCAAAAAAGCCGAACCGGAAACATTCTCCAAGTCAGCTAGGCTTTCAGCTCGGCTACTCTGGCCTTAACTTAGAAATTCCCTTTGAATTCTCACGTTAGTAAATTCCTCTGTAAATGGTACTAGTTATTAATATCATTCTTTTCAACTTTATTGTTGATCTAAATTAGAATTACATCATAAAATGAAGAGCATTTTGTGAAAAAGAAACAGAATTGAGATTTCTGGAATTAAGGAAACGAAAAGCTGACTGTGTATTGTTAGTCCAAGATATGGCATTAGAAAACAGAGTAAGAAGGAAGAAAAGAGCAGTCTTTCATGCCAGAATACATTAAATATTCCCTAAAACTCCTTCGTTTTATTTATTTTTTTAAGAAGCCGAACATAGGCTGGTACCGTTTTTGTCTGTTAGTGAACGTCCCTCTTGAGAAAACAGTACCTGGAGGGCTGTCAGCGAACTACGAGTAATGTGATTACTTTAAAAATCTAAATAGAGAGAGACATAAATCATTTCAAAATAACATATCCACGAACACATCAGGTAGATGTGTAATAATGAGAGAGAAACAGACATACAGACAGGTAGATAGATCCAGATCGATCGATCGATAGATAGATAGATAGATAGATAGACAGACAGACAGACAGACAGACAGACAGACAGACAGACAGATAGATAGATATTAGATAGATAGATAGATAGATAGATAGAGATAGACAAACAGACAGACAGGTAGATATAGATAGATAGATATATAGACAAATAGACATATAGATAGATAGATAGATAGAGATAGATAGACAGACATATAGATAGATAGATAGATAGATAGATAGATAGATAGATAGACAAACAGACAGACAGGTAGATATAGATAGATAGATATATAGACAGATAGATAGATAGATATATAGATACTGTATAGATAGATAGACAGACAGACAGTGTAACGGACCGTTTTGCACAAAAGGGGTAAAAAACGTTTAGGTGATCGGCCCCCTTTCCAGAGATGCAGGCACAGCTACTGCAGAACACCAAACACACGAACCGCCAATAAGTGAATGCTCCAAACACCCGAACGGCATCCAATACAGCACTCCAAATACACGAACAGGAACCATACAAATTGCTGCTAGCAGACGAATAGGAAAAGCCCCCAAGCGGCTTACACTCCTAGCAATCAGTCTCTAACAGCATAAAGTAAATCCCCCCAATAATGAGACGACACTTCACTTTGAGGGTTAAGCAGGAACTCTTGTGCTGGCACACCCAGCCTGGTTTTTATTACAGCCTTTCACATACAGGACCGCCCACAGGGAGGTATAAAACAACCAATCACATCACAGTTACATCCCACATATTCCCTCCCCTTATCCTGAGAGGAAACTCAATTACACATACAGTTAAAACATACTTTCTACCCAACTTTCATAACTCTAAAACCATACATCACATTCACATAAAATTACATTTCACAATCAATCCATTCAGGGGAACAACATATTAAAAAATGGCATGAATCAGACCAGGGGTTCAAAAGTTAGTAAAAGTATCTTTTGGGCCCTGGCTGGCAGCATGGCTATCTGGCTCAAACAGGTTTTACAGAGCCCTCTATCCTGGACAGTCGGGGAAAGTAATCCAATTATCCAGGGATAGAGGCAGACTCCATTGAGCACATGGTTGCAAAAAGACATAAAACACTTTAAAATACATAAAGTCAGCTTTTACACATAACACACAGAATTTCACATATCCCCAGATAGCTGGGATCTGAGCGCACAAAACTACCGAATAGCACTCAGATCCTATTCACACAGTTCAATTGCCATGGAGCCGAAGTCTTTAACTACACGAATGGGCTCCATGGCATAGCTATCTGGGTTAACACATTCACACAAAGTCTGGTCCATAGTCCAAAGGCAAGAGGCGGGCAGCCAGGCTTCTCCAATGCCATGTGGCGAGATTGCTCTCGTCACAGACAGATAGATAGATAGATAGATAGATAGATTGGATAGTTAGATAGACAGATAGATAGATAGATAGATAGATAGATAGATAGATAGATAGATAGATAGATAGATAGATAGATAGATAGATATTGGATAGATAGATAGATAGACAGACAGACAGACAGGTAGATATAGATAGATAGATAGATAGATAGATAGATAGATAGATAGATAGATAGACATATAGACAGATAGATAGATAGATAGATAGATAGATAGATAGATAGATAGATAGATAGATAGATAATTGATTGATAGATAGATAATTTATAGATAGATAGATCAATAATTGATTGATAGATAGATAGATAAATAGATAGATAGATAGATAGACAGACAGACAGACAGACATATAGACAGATAGACAGATAGATAGATAGATAGATAGATAGATAGATAGATAGATAGATAGATAGATCATTTCTTATTCAGAATTGTAAGGTTTTATGTATTAAGTCTATTCTCCGGTAGCTGAGTTCAGGGACAGGAACAAAACCTGGAAGACATCCATCATTTCCAGACACAGTAGGATATTGAATAGACTTGGGAGGAGTCCAGAGAAGGTGAAGAGAGTATTCCGTATTAAATAAAGGATCAATAACGTACTAAGATTATACAGATATGTAAGACTGCCATTTGTAGATGCTAAAAAGGTAATTGTGACAACAGCAATCTCGCCACATTGCATTGTAGAAGCCGGGTTGTTCGCCTGTTGCCTTTGGATTATGGCCCCATGTTAAAAGGCTTGATTTTCCCCTGCAAAGACAAGAAATCCGGGTCATTTGGTGCTGGCCCTGTTTGAGCAGTGATACCCCAGATCGCTATGCCATGGAGCCCATTCGTATAATGAAAGACTATGGGAAAGACTTTGGCTCCATGGCAATTGAACTATATGTGTGTGCTCTGAGCGCCATTCAGTAATAATGTGCGCTCAGACCTAAGCTATCTGGGCATATGTTGCATGTCTGTATTTTATGTCATAAATGTAACCTTGTGTATTGTATTTTACTGTCTTTTTGCTGCCATGTGTTCAATGGAGTTTTGCCTCTGTCTTTGGAGATAATTGGATTACTTCTAATTATCTCCAGGATAGAAGACTCTGTGGAACTGGTTTTGGGCAGAAAAGCCATGCTTCCTTTGGTCACAAAGGACTACGATCTATCTTTTGAACCACTGGACCAATTTGGATGATTTTGACATATGTTTGTATTTGGAGTATGCTGATTCTGAAAATGTTTTATGTGAATGTGATGCATACTTTTCAAGTTATGAATAATGTGGAAAAATGGTATTTCTCTGCTTGTTATAATTACATTACCCATTGTGTAAGGTAATTGTATCACAGGCAGAGGGGAGGATTTTGTGTGGGAGTGTCTGAGTGTATTGTATGTGTTTATTGGTTGTGTTCCAAAACCCTGTGGGTGGTACTAATGTGTAAGAATGTGTACATAAGCACAATAAACCCACAGCTCTGTCTGTTCACTGCTTGACCCTCAACACAGAGCTTTGTCTCGTTCTTGGGGGGATTTACTGTATGCTGTTAGAGACTGATTGCCCGGAGTGTAAGCTGCTTGGGTGCTTTTCCTGTTCAGCTGCTAGCAGCTATTCGTGAGGTTCCCGTTCTGGATTTTGGAGTGCTACTTGGTATCCTGTTCGGGAGTTTGGTGTTCTGCAGTAGCTGTGCCTGCATCTCTGAATGGGGACGATCGCCTAAACGGTTTTAACCCCTTGTAAGCTGAAATGGTCCGTTACAGTAATTTATACTGCTCAGGTAACATTAAGACCTGAGCAGGGATTTACCAAAGGGCAAGTCACAGAGTTTCTTTAAGCTTTTGTCTGTTCTCAGAATTCTCAAATCCTTTGTTTTTGTTGCAATGCATCTACTTAGGTTAAGTCTTAACTTAAAATACTAATAGATGTGGCTATATGTTCACAGTGACCAGAGAGATCCAAGCTACGCCCAAAGAAGGCCAGATGATCGTCCGGGTTTGTTGTATCTCTTCTGCCGAGAGAACTTGCCGGCATTCGGTTCTAGACTGCTCTCATGGGTGGGATCAGTCTGATGTGCAAATAGGACAGGTTCACTCAGGCTTAATTGAGCCCTGAGTGGGGACTAACCGAAGGGCAAGCTACTGAGATTTTAACAGTGAGAGTGAAGAAGAAGATTGCGGTAAATCAACGCAAACAAACAGACTTGTTTCTATAAAAAAGAAAGTAAAAATGTACATCAGGATGTTAGCGCTAATTGTTTGCTTGGCTTATTTTTTACAGGAAATCTGTCATTGATTTTTATTATTTAAAACACGTTATCTATGCATACAGTGCTTCTCCTGCTTCCTGAGGGCAGCCATCTTTAAATCCTCTTGAGTCTGACATTTTGCTTATCCAACCAGAGACCATACAGATAAGTAAGTGTTAGTTTATAAATGCTGATATCTGCAAGTGATGATCATCTCAAAAATATTCTTTGCGTTACATTCAGCCATTCAAAATGTCCTAGTAGTTCATACAACCAAAGAGGACTTAAAGATGGCTGCCCCCACGGAGCACGGAGATACACTGTAACAAAGAGGACTTAAAGATGGCTGCCCCCACGGAGCACGGAGATACACTGAAACAAAGAGGACTTAAAGATGGCTGCCCCCACGGAGCACGGAGATACACTGAAACAAAGAGGACTTAAAGATGGCTGCCCCCACGGAGCACACAGATACACTGAAACAAAGAGGACTTAAAGATGGCTGCCCCCACGGAGCACACAGATACACTGAAACAAAGAGGACTTAAAGATGGCTGCCTCCACATAGCACAGAGATACACTGAAACTAGAGATTTACTTGTATCTGCATTACAAGAATACACAGAGATTATATTATTGACTATTATGAGACTATATTATTGACTATTATGAGACTATATTATTGCATATAAGCTTTTAGAAGGCACTCACATGGCGCTGTTGCGTAAATGTTATGAAATAAACCTAAGCGAATCTGAGGGATTATTTAATAAACTGAATTGTGCAAAATTGAAAAAAAGGGATGTGTAAATTGGAAAAAGACCTGGCTGGATATTTTGTTTCAGTTTGACCTATTTTGGTTTAAACGGTATAATTCCCTTACCAATTGCCGTAGGATTCTCTGCGTTGTGAACCTTCTCATATCGGAAATGGATGAAAATAGACTGAGGGATAGGATGCAGGGTATGCATTGATTGATTGTCATTGATGGCCCAGTTTACAAAAGAATTAAAATTGTAATCAAGGACTTGTCCTGGGACCACCCCCTGTCACTTTCCATGTTACTATTTTTGTAGAGAGCTTTGAATGTCTGGCTGTTCACTAAAGGCAGAGAATTATAAGAGCTCGGGTATTTAGAAAAGTATATTTCTTCCCGGTACATGATGTCTGTGACGATGTATTGCTTAATACTGCAATGAAGTTTTTTATTCAACTAAAGCACTTTTGATTGATTGACAAGCTTTCAGGAGTTGCATTTCAAACCTGTGGCGTGATCCAGTGGTAAACCTATAACAAGGCATATAAAACGCAGTCTAAAGCAGATTTAAAAACCTCAGCATTGTAAATATTCAGGGCACGAGATTTGTGTACGATGATAAGAGAGGAATAAATAATAGTGTTTAAAATACAGATTATTTTATTTGTTGAACATGAATTGTAGAGAATTCATAAATTCTTTGCAAATAGTAGACAAATGTGTCTGGGAATCTATAATAAACATACAAAAAATCTATAATAAACATACAAAAAACAAAAACAAAAACACACACGCACATATGCACGCATCCCAACGCCCCACCTCTGTACGAACCCTCAAATATCTGGGATCACAGACATTTACTAAGAATCTGGTATCACTTTAGAAAGCACATTTAAATTGTGCAATATGGAATATCAAAAACAGCAATCATCGTGATGGCTGTTAACATCATTGGAACAATGTGATTTTTTTTGTGTTTCTGGTTCAGGTGTGAATATACATTTTTTTCATTTTTGTTTTAGAATCTCTTGAAAGAAATACTAGCTGTAGATTTATCAGAGTGCCTATTTAAACGATGGGTATAGGAAGCACAGGGGATGGGGAGAATGTCCCCAGAGAAATATTTCAGGAGGGCATAGAGAGGGGGCCTCCAGGAAATGTTGCAGGAGGTTGTAGAGAGGGGACCTCTAAAAAATGTCGCAGGAGTGCATAGAGAGGGGACCTCTAAGAAATGTCGCAGGAGGGCGTAGAGAGGAGACCTCTAAAAAATGTTGCAGGAGGGCGTAGGAAGAGGAAATCTAAGAAATGTTGCAGGAGGGCGTAGAGAGGGGACCTTTAAGAAATGTCGCAGGAGGAATTGTTGAAACTGCAATAATTACCTTTCAGAGTTAATGCCACGTCTAGAGGCTGTCTACCAGACAGCCACTAGAGGGCCTTCCGGGTGGTTAGGCGACCAAAAGGGTGGGCGCTAGAGAGAGGGCACTGTAGGAACCTATAGTGCCAGGAAAACGTCCTTCGCATGTTAAGATGGGAAGATCGTCATCAGATAGTACTGGGTTTAAGTCTTTGAAGATTTGCACATTTTCTAAAGGCAGAGCTGCATGCAGCCACTTGCAGAACATGTGTGGAGACATTTCTCTTTGTACTGTAACAGGCCTGCCCATGGTGTATTCAGAGCAGAGTTTATTTTTTAGTTATGGTCTTTGGTTTAGATCATTTGTGACTGAGTGACTCAGACAGTATGTTTACTGTTTAGAAGTGGCCTTCAGTGTCTAGGTATAATACCTGGGAGCCTGGTCTTAAACATTGTCTTAAATATTGTGAGAATGAGGGTGTCTAGTATGTCTAGTTTGGTTTGATTGGATGATGACCATTAGCGGTTGTTACAGGGTTGGTTTGATTGGATAATAACCATTAGTGGTTGTTGCAGGTTCGATTTAATTGGATGATAACCATTAGCGGTTGTTACAGGTTTGGTTTGATTGGATGATAACCATTAGGGGTTGTTACAGGTTTGGTTTGATTGGATAATAACCATTAGCGGTTGTTACAGGTTTGGTTTGATTGGTTTATAGCCATTAGCGGTTGTTACAGGTTTGGTTTGATTGGATGATGACCATTAGCGGTTGTTACAGGTTTGATTTGATTGGATGGTAACTATTAGTGGTTGTTGCAGGTTTGGTTTGATTGGATGATGACCATTAGCGGTTGTTACAGGTTTGGTTTGATTGGATGATAACCATTAGCGGTTGTTACAGGTTTGGTTTGATTTGATGATAACCATTAGCGATTGTTACAGGTTTGGTTTAATTGGATGTTAAACATTAGCAGTTGTTACAGGTTTGATTTGATTGGATGATAACCATTAGCGGTTGCTACAGGTTTGGTTTGATTGGTTTATAACCATTAGCGGTTGTTACAGGTTTGGTTTGATTGGATGATGACCATTAGCGGTTGTTACAGGTTTGGTTTGATTGGATGATAACCATTAGCGATTGTTACAGGTTTGGTTTAATTGGATGATAAACATTAGCGGTTGTTACAGGTTTGGTTTCTAGCGGCTGTTACAGGTTTGGCTTGATTGGATGGTAACCATTAGCGGTTGTTACAGGTTTGGTTTGATTGGATGATGACCATTAGCGGTTGTTACAGGGTTGGTTTGATTGGATAATAACCATTAGTGGTTGTTGCAGGTTCGATTTAATTGGATGATAACCATTAGCGGTTGTTACAGGTTTGGTTTGATTGGATGATAACCATTAGGGGTTGTTACAGGTTTGGTTTGATTGGATAATAACCATTAGCGGTTGTTACAGGTTTGGTTTGATTGGTTTATAGCCATTAGCGGTTGTTACAGGTTTGGTTTGATTGGATGATAAACATTAGCGGTTGTTACAGGTTTGATTTGATTGGATGATAACCATTAGCGGTTGTTACAGGTTTGGTTTGATTGGATGATAACCATTAGCGATTGTTACAGGTTTGGTTTAATTGGATGATAAACATTAGCGGTTGTTACAGGTTTGGTTTGATTGGATGATGACCATTAGCGGTTGTTACAGGTTTGGTTTGATTGGATGATAACCATTAGCGGTTGTTACAGGTTTGGTTTGATTGGATGATGACCATTAGCGGTTGTTACAGGTTTGGTTTGATTGGATGATAACCATTAGCGGTTGTTACAGGTTTGGTTTGATTTGATGATAACCATTAGCGATTGTTACAGGTTTGGTTTAATTGGATGATAAACATTAGCGGTTGTTACAGGTTTGATTTGATTGGATGATAACCATTAGCGGTTGCTACAGGTTTGGTTTGATTGGTTTATAACCATTAGCGGTTGTTACAGGTTTGGTTTGATTGGATGATGACCATTAGCGGTTGTTACAGGTTTGGTTTGATTGGATGATAACCATTAGCGATTGTTACAGGTTTGGTTTAATTGGATGATAAACATTAGCGGTTGTTACAGGTTTGGTTTCATTGGATGATAACCATTAGCGATTGTTACAGGTTTGGTTTAATTGGATGATAAAAATTAGCGGTTGTTACAGGTTTGATTTGATTGGATGATAACCATTAGCGGTTGTTACAGGTTCGGTTTAATTGGATGATAACCATTAGCGGTTGTTACAGGTTTGGTTTGATTGGATGATAACCATTAGCGGTAGTTATAGGTTTGGTTTGATTGGATGATGACCATTAGCGGTTGTTACAGGTTTGGTTTGATTGGATGATAACCATTAGCGGTTGTTACAGGTTTGGTTTGATTTGATGATAACCATTAGCGGCTGTTACAGGTTTGGCTTGATTGGATGGTAACCATTAGCGGTTGTTACAGGTTTGGTTTGATTGGATGATAACCATTAGCGATTGTTACAGGTTTGGTTTAATTGGATGATAAACATTAGCGGTTGTTACAGGTTTGATTTGATTGGATGATAACCATTAGCGGTTGCTACAGGTTTGGTTTGATTGGTTTATAACCATTAGCGGTTGTTACAGGTTTGGTTTGATTGGATGATGACCATTAGCGGTTGTTACAGGTTTGGTTTGATTGGATGATAACCATTAGGGATTGTTACAGGTTTGGTTTAATTGGATGATAAACATTAGCGGTTGTTACAGGTTTGATTTGATTGGATGGTAACTATTAGTGGTTGTTGCAGGTTCGGTTTAATTGGATGATAACCATTAGCGGTTGTTACAGGTTTGGTTTGATTGGATGAAAACCATTAGCGGTAGTTACAGGTTTGGTTTGATTGGATGATGACCATTAGCGGTTGTTACAGGTTTGGTTTGATTGGATGATAACCATTAGCGGTTGTTACAGGTTTGGTTTGATTTGATGATAACCATTAGCAGCTGTTACAGGTTTGGCTTGATTGGATGATAACCATTAGCGGTTGTTGCAGGTTCGGTTTGATTGGATGATAACCATTAGCAGTTGTTACAGGTTTGGTTTGATTGGATGATAACCATTAGCGGTTGTTACAGGTTTGGTTTGATTGGATGATAACCATTAGCGTTTGTTACAGGTTTGGTTTGATTGGATGATAACCATTAGCGGTTGTTACAGGTTTGGTTTGATTGGATGATGACCATTAGCGGTTGTTACAGGTTTGGTTTGATTGGATGATAACCATTAGCGGTTGTTACAGGTTTGGTGTGATTGGATGATAACCATTAGCGGTTGTTGCAGGTTCGGTTTGATTGGATGATAACCATTAGCGGTTGTTACAGGTTTGGTTTGATTGGATGATGACCATTAGCAGTTGTTACAGGTTTGGTTTGATTGGATGATAACCATTAGCGGTTGTTACAGGTTTGGTGTGACTGGATGATAACCATTAGCGGTTGTTAGAGGTTTGGTTTGATTGGATGGTAACTATTAGTGGTTGTTGCAGGTTCGGTTTAATTGGATGATAACCATTAGCGGTTGTTACAGGTTTGGTTTGATTGGTTTATAACCATTAGCGGTTGTTATAGGTTTGATTTGATTGGATGATAACCATTAGCGGTTGCTACAGGTTTGGTTTGATTGGATAATAACCATTAGCGGTTGTTGCAGGTTCGGTTTGATTGGATGATAACCATTAGCGGTTGTTACAGGTTTGGTTTGATTGGATGATAACCATTAGCGGTAGTTACAGGTTTGGTTTGATTGGATGATAACCATTAGCAGTTGTTACAGGTTTGGTTTGATTGGATGATAACCATTAGCAGTTGTTACAGGTTTGGTTTGATTGGATGATAATCATTAGGGGTTGTTACAGGTTTGGTTTGATTGGATGATAAACATTAGCGGTTGTTACAGGTTTGGTTTGATTGGATGATAACCATTAGCGGTTGTTACAGGTTTGGTTTGATTGGATGATAACCATTAGCGGTTGTTACAGGTTTGGTTTGATTGGATGATGACCATTAGCAGTTGTTACAGGTTTGGTTTGATTGGATGATAACCATTAGCGGTTGTTACAGGTTTGGTGTGATTGGATGATAACCATTAGCGGTTGTTAGAGGTTTGGTTTGATTGGATGGTAACTATTAGTGGTTGTTGCAGGTTCGGTTTAATTGGATGATAACCATTAACGGTTGTTACAGGTTTGGTTTGATTGGATGATAACCATTAGCGGTTGTTACAGGTTTGGTTTGATTGGATGGTAACCATTAGCGGTTGTTACAGGTTTGGTTTGATTGGATGATAACCATTAGCGGTTGTTACAGGTTTAGTTTGATTGGATGATAACCATTAGCGGTTGTTACAGGTTTGGTTTGATTGGATGATAACCATTAGCAGTTGTTACAGGTTTGGTTTGATTGGTTTATAACCATTAGCGGTTGTTATAGGTTTGGTTTGATTGGATGATAACCATTAGCGGTTGCTACAGGTTTGGTTTGATTGGATAATAACCATTAGCAACCGTTGCAGGTTCGGTTTGATTGGATGATAACCATTAGCGGTTGTTACAGGTTTGGTTTGATTGGATGATAACCATTAGCGGTTGCTACAGGTTTGGTTTGATTGGATAATAACCATTAGCAGTTGTTACAGGTTTGGTTTGATTAGATGATAACCATTAGCGGTTGTTACAGGTTTGGTTTGATTGGATGATAACCATTAGCGGTAGTTACAGGTTTGGTTTGATTGGATGATAACCATTAGCAGTTGTTACAGGTTTGGTTTGATTGGATGATAACCATTAGGGGTTGTTACAGGTTTGGTTTGATTGGATGATAACCATTAGCGTTGTTACAGGTTTGGTTTGATTGGATGATAACCATTAGCGGTTTTTACAGGTTTGGTTTGATTGGATGATAACCATTAGCGGTTGTTACAGGTTTGGTGTGATTGGATGATAACCTTTAGCGGTTGTTAGAGGTTTGGTTTGATTGGATGGTAACTATTAGTGGTTGTTGCAGGTTCGGTTTAATTGGATGATAACCATTAACGGTTGTTACAGGTTTGGTTTGATTGGATGATAACCATTAGCGGTTGTTACAGGTTTGGTTTGATTGGATGGTAACCATTAGCGGTTGTTACAGGTTTGGTTTGATTGGATGATAACCATTAGCGGTTGTTACAGGTTTAGTTTGATTGGATGATAACCATTAGCGGTTGTTACAGGTTTGGTTTGATTGGTTTATAACCATTAGCGGTTGTTACAGGTTTGGTTTGATTGGATGATAACCATTAGCGGTTGTAACAGGTTTGGTTTGATTGGTTTATAACCATTAGCGGTTGTTACAGGTTTGGTTTGATTGGATAATAACCATTAGCAGTTGTTACAGGTTTGGTTTGATTAGATGATAACCATTAGCGGTTGTTACAGGTTTGGTTTGATTGGTTTATAACCATTAGCGGTTGTTACAGGTTTGGTTTGATTGGATGATAACCATTAGCAGTTGTTACAGGTTTGGTTTGATTGGATGATAACCATTAGGGGTTGTTACAGGTTTGGTTTGATTGGATGATAACCATTAGCGGTTGTTACAGGTTTGGTTTGATTGGATGATAACCATTAGCGGTTTTTACAGGTTTGGTTTGATTGGATGATAACCATTAGCGGTTGTTACAGGTTTGGTGTGATTGGATGATAACCTTTAGCGGTTGTTAGAGGTTTGGTTTGATTGGATGGTAACTATTAGTGGTTGTTGCAGGTTCGGTTTAATTGGATGATAACCATTAACGGTTGTTACAGGTTTGGTTTGATTGGATGGTAACCATTAGCGGTTGTTACAGGTTTGGTTTGATTGGATGATAACCATTAGCGGTTGTTACAGGTTTAGTTTGATTGGATGATAACCATTAGAGGTTGTTACAGGTTTGGTTTGATTGGATGATAACCATTAGCGGTTGTTACAGGTTTGGTTTGATTGGTTTATAACCATTAGCGGTTGTTATAGGTTTGGTTTGATTGGATGATAACCATTAGCGGTTGCTACAGGTTTGGTTTGATTGGATAATAACCATTAGCGGTTGTTGCAGGTTCGGTTTGATTGGATGATAACCATTAGCGGTTGTTACAGGTTTGGTTTGATTGGATAATAACCATTAGCAGTTGTTACAGGTTTGGTTTGATTAGATGATAACCATTAGCGGTTGTTACAGGTTTGGTTTGATTGGATGATAACCATTAGCGGTAGTTACAGGTTTGGTTTGATTGGATGATAACCATTAGCAGTTGTTACAGGTTTGGTTTGATTGGATGATAACCATTAGCAGTTGTTACAGGTTTGGTTTGATTGGATGATAACCATTAAGGGTTGTTACAGGTTTGGTTTGATTGGATGATAACCATTAGCGGTTGTTACAGGTTTGGTTTGATTGGATGATAACCATTAGCGGTTGTTACAGGTTTGATTGGATGATAACCATTAGCAGTTGTTGCAGTTTCGGTTTAATTGGATGATAACCATTAGCAGTTGTTACAGGTTTCGTTTGATTGAATGATAACCATTAGCAGTTGTTACAAGTTTGGTTTGATTGGTTGATAGCCAGGGCCGGACTGGGAAAAAAATTAGGCCCGGCATTTTTCAATTAGAGCAGCCCCCCAAGAAGGGGGCGGGGCCAGAGAGGGTGTGTTTTGTCATCACTAATGACAAGTACGCCCCTTCTGAAAGTGAGCATGTTGGTTCAATGCCCAGAGCCCCGCTGAAGAGCTCTAGCATTAGAAAAAGGCACTGTATTTGTTCTGCGCAGCGCAAGCAAATGTAATAACATGCTTGCGCTGTGTTTGCTTTTAAATTGTCTCTGGTGTCTCCACAAGTGGGATACCAGAGGATAAAAGGGCCAGGAAAGTGCATGGTGCATGTGTTTGGCGCATGCTTGTGGGATTGCCTGTGTGTAGAGTGTGCTGTGGTATTGTGTAAATAGGTCAATTTTGTGGTGTAATATGTGTGGCTAGGGGCTGTAGAGAGTGCGTGTGTAGGGGCATAGTGTTATAGGGGATGTAGCGAGTGTTTACATACGGGCAGTAGTGTGTGTGTATAGGTGACGTAGTGTGTGTAGGGGTTGTAGAGAGGGTGTGTTTTGAGAATGTTGTATGTGTTTGCTTACAATGAATGTAGTGTGTGTGTAGGTGGTGCAGTGTGTGTGTGTAAGAGATCTAGTGTGTAAAGGACCCAGAGTGTGTATAGAAGATTGTGTGTGTGTGTGTGTGTGTAGAGGATTAAGAGTTCATATAGGGTAAGGGATCTAATGTGTATCTGGAGCGTAATGTGTGTAGTGGTGCAGTGTGTGGGGTGCTGTAGTGTGTGTGTATATATATTTAGAATATATTTGGACTTATTGTATGTGTGAGGGGCGCAGTGTGTGTATGTAAGAGGGGTGCTGTGTGTGAGGGTGTTTTTATCTGCCGTCACATTCTAGGTTTCTAAATTTTCTTTGTCTGTTAACTCACTGAGGGTTATTTTATATTTTATATATATATATATATATATATATATATATGTGTGTGTGCTGTATATGTGTGGGAGTGAGGGTGCTGTCTGTCTGAGGGTGCTGTCTGTCTGAGGGTGCTGTCTGTGTCTGAGGGTGTTGTGTGTGTCTGGGGGTGCTGTGTGTGTCTGGGGGCTGTGTGTGTCTGGGGTCTGTTAGGGAATTTATTTAAAATAATTTTTTTTATTAATAATTTTAAAAAAAAGTTATGCCCCCCCCCTCCCTTCTTACCTTTATCCTGGGAGGGGGGGAGGAGATCTGTTCTGCCTGGGGGGGAGGAGATCCGATCTGCCATCCTTCCCTGGTGGTCCAGTGGTGAGAGTGAACGCTAACCTGCAGGTTAGAGTTCACTCTCGCGAGATCTGAGCGTTGCCGTGGTAACCGCAGCAACGCTCAGAATCCCGCAAGAGGACCCGGCGGAGCTGCTGGTTAGGGCTCCGCCGGGTCCTCTCTCCTGCCTCCCTCATTCACTCCCGCACTTGCGGCCGCATCTCCATGCCTCTGGGCCGGTGAGGGAGATCTTTGATCTCCCCACCGGCCCATGGAGGCACACAGCAGGGCTGGCGCTCGGGTAGCGCTGGCCCTGCAGGGGCTGACAGGGGAGATTCTGTGATCTCCCCTGTCGGCCTCGGCCCATGGCCATCGCGGCCCACCAGGCATTTGCCCTCCGTGCCCGATGGCCAGTCCGGGCCTGTTGATAGCCATTAGCAGTTGTTAGAGGTTTGGTTTGATTGGATGATAACCATTAGTATCTATTAGAAGTTTGATTTGATTAAAATAGTAACCATTAGTAATGGTTACAGTTATTTCTTTATTAGGGATGGAGATTAGACTTGCACCGTAAGGAAATTAAGGTCAGCCAAACCATTTTGGCTTGACAGAATTTTGGAACTGAGATTCCAATTCAGAAACTGAATCAGTAGAACAGAAGAGTGTGTGAAAATGGGCCAATTAGTGTGTTGCAAAATATATACATATTGTAATATTATTTATGTATTTTGCGGTACACTGATAGGATCATCTGGTTTGGTTGGTGAGAAAAAGTAAGAGACAGAGTAAAAAATAAGCGGAGCAGTATAAAAAATCTTTATATTTATATATTCTATATTTATTAAATTAGAGATAGATCTTTTTAAATGCTCTTTATTTTTTCCTCTATTGGTCATTTCCACCTTGATCTGTGAATAAAATCCACATTTCGTAGTTGTCTACTAGCCATTAATCAGATTTTTTCCCCCAACAATCATCTAATTTTTTGGCAATTCAAGTGGAATGTAGAATCACCTGCTCACCTAAACATGCTCATCATTGAGTGAATAGACAGCAAAATTCATGGTTCCTTCAAAGACAGCAAGTCTACCAACCCTAAAGGCAGCAGAGCTCCCCACACCGTCACATTTTCATTAACCAGATTGTAATTTTGGCATGTTCTTACTGTGACATGCTATGTTTGCTTCATGCCAGGCAAATTTGTATGTTCCACTTTTGGTGTGTCTGTCCACAGATCATTACCCCAAAAGGCCTGGTGGTCATTAATCTGAGATTTGGGTAATGTAAAAGGAATAGTAACATTTCTCTAAATTCTACCTTTCAAGTTTCCATTACGTTTTTACTCAGTTTCTTTCTGATTATTAGATCAGGGTTCATAGATTGTGCTGTCCGTTGGATGTTGTCTTTGGTATTTTTGTGTTTTTACCGTGAGTCATTGCTGTGCCGCTGGGGGAGTTTTGGCAGACTGGCCCCTACTGGTAAGATTCACTACTTTTTCAAGTTATATTTATGTGGATATTATGCCTCTCACTGTGGTTCATTGAAGTCCCAGAACTTTAGAAATTGTTTTCTTACCCTTTCCAGAATGAAAAATCTCAGCAATATTTTCTCTCATGTATTTTGGAATGTAATTGAGTATGTATGGGCTATTTGTTACAAACCTATTGCCTATTTCACATTAATGTTACAGTTCTATGGAGGTCATATTCAGATTCATCAGGGCTGTCAAGCATCAATCTTTGGTGAGTCTACTCTAACTGAATTATAAATTACTTTTGGTTAATGACTTGATTGGCCAACTAGTGGTGGCATTTACTTTTCATACAGATGACCAGTTTGTGTAACGTTTGGGGAACCTTTTGCTCTTTTTCTGAAATAACTTGAAGCAATTCAATTCAGTGTGACAATTATGCTAAAATAGATTTTATAAATGAGACATATCCATGTTTTTATAACACTGTAGATAGAGGTGAAACGTCTGTGTGTCTATGTTCGAGTGTAAAGACATTTTAAATTTTACAGTGTGACGAACCGAAGCTCGTCATGGGCTCTTGGAGGTGCCTGATTGCCAGTCTCCTGCCTCAGGACTATGGGCCCTGCAATATACCTTGCCAAATTCACTTTAAAAACCTCCGTTCAAATGATTTATGTACTCTTGTACTCCAGTATGCGAGACCGACAATTAGCCCAGGTTCCTTAGAAACTGTTTTGGGCATAGAACCATGTGCACGGTCGGTCAAAATTATGACTTCCATGGAAATCCCGAACCCCTGAATCGATCTGGGTGATTTTTGGACATGTTGGTCCCCCAGATTGGGGCGATCAGGGTATGTGACATTTGTGGGGTTTCCATCTGTTTTGGGGGTACTTTCAGGTTATTGTAAAATATGTTTTCTGTGCCTGCAGATAATTCAGTTTAGTACAGTTTCTGACTATTATCTCTCAGGCACAGGGGAGGGATTATTCTGTTTTGTGTGGGAGTGTCCTGGACCTGAGAGCCAATGTAATTACAGTGTGTACTTTGTCACAGTCCCCTCTCAGGTCCAGTGGGGAATGCCCCAGAATATGTTAATGGAAAACCCCTGACATGGGGACTTGCATATAAGGCCAGTTGTGGCTGCCAATGCAGGAGTTCCTCTTCACCCTCAACATAGAGCCTCGTCTCATGAGTGGAGGGAATAGCTATATTCACTCTGGGAATTGCTATACTCATTATACTCCCTTAGATTATAATCATTAGTTCTTGTAAGACCTATCCTGCTTTAATCTCTGGATTGGGAGAGGTCTACACACTGGAACCTGGATCCTGATCTTGGGTCCAGGGTGGGTGGAGGACAGCGAGACCCCAACCAAGCTGTAACGTTAGCTGTGGGGTTTATGGTGTTTATGGTGTCTAGTGGAGTGCTTGGAGTACTCGGTGAGCACTAGGAAGCATCAATTGGTGAAGGCACCCAGTCAGGTTGCCAGGTGGTCCATCACTTACAGCACATGCAAATAATTTGAATTTTAATTATATTGAACGGCAAAGCAAGTAAAATAATTATACAAAGTGTAGAATTTAATGAGATGAATTTGTGGCCCAGACGGATATATTGAATTCACTGGATAGGTTTGTGAATATAAGCTTTACCCATAAGATGAGAAAAAACAATAAAAAATGAAAAATCTAATCTCTTATTGTGGTGGTGTCTTGAACGAGGACTGGAGAGATCTAAGACGCTTCCCTTCACATCTGGGGAGAAAACAGAATTCAGTAACTTGGAAATTCAACTCTGAGTGTAGATACTTTAAAATAGTTGGCTATTGCACAGCGAATCAGTATGATTTTGCTAAACCTTTTCATACAACAGATAAAGTCGCATTTATCTTTAACCAAAATGTTTTTTATAGATTTGGTTAATACACCTTAAGCACAATTTGTTTTATGGAGCTCCTAACTGTAAGACAAAAACTAAATTGTGATGAAAAAGTGAAAGGAATATATTTAAAGTGTTGCCTTTAAATATTAGAGATAAGTGGCTTCCAGCAGTTAAGGTATAGAGTGATAAGGCTGTTTGTTTTGTTTGGAGCATTTCAGAAGAGATTTCAAAAAAAAAAAAAAAATGATCCTTTTTAGTCCTGACTTGTTAGTATTCATGAACTGATTAGGTATGACACAGTTAAATACACGACCTCCTTTCCAGGGAAGATAAGGCGGGACGCGCAGAATATAAATCAGTGTATATAAATGACCGCTCGGTTCTTAATTCGCTTTGCATATCTAATCATCTGCACAGAGTTCTCTAGGCACCCAAACTACATTTGCATTAAACGCCAATTTGCACTTCGTAATGTATAGGACAGGCATATCAACATCAGGAACGAGTGAATGAGGGAGATGTGTAGGGCGAGCAAAGGGATAAAAGGGTGTCGTGTTGGGCAGGAGGGTGGGGAGGGGAAATCAAACAAGCTGAGGCTATAAGACAGAGATGGGAGATAAAATGGAAAAAAAAAGATGTGAGAATGATTGAATGATACAGGAATGGTGGAAGGAGGAAGATAAGAGGGAAGAATTTGCAAGGAAGGAGATGCAAGCTGCGAAGGGGAGTAGTAGCAAAGTTTGAGATGATAAATGGAAAAGAAGTGTCTGAAACAGACAGAAGAAAAGTGAGCGGGTAGGTATAGGAAAGATGAAAGTGAGAGTATGTGGTGGAGATTGGAAGCAAGAAGGATAAAATGACAGAGAGATAATGGGGAGATCTGGTATGAGAGCAAGAGGAAGAAGGTGTGACAGAGCGGTCGTGGTAACCATAAATATGGTAAAAATGAACATTAAAACATTTTTGCAAACTTCTAATGAAAACCTTATCTTCAGCAATCAAAGTCGGATCATTGAATATTATAGATAATGAGGCAAAAGGAAAAGACATCTGACTAAGGGAGACAAGGATAAATGATTGATGGAAGGTTCTAAAAAGTCCCCACCCCCCCACACACATGCAGACAAACAGATACACACACAGACACACATACAAACACATATACAGACATACAGACACATGCATACAAACACACACAAACACACAGAGATCCATACATACAGACACACAGAGGCACGTACGTACGTACATACAGACACACATACACACATACACACACACATACACACAGACATGTAGGCACACACACATACATACAGATGAATATACACACATACATACACACATACACACATACACACAGAGACACATTTAGCTGGATAGACACACATACAGACACACATAGACATACATACACAAACACGCAGACATACAGACACACAGACATACAGACACACACACATACAGACAGATATACATAAACACACATAGACATACACATACAGACACACACACACACACACAGACAGACACACACACAGATATACAGACACACCCAGATATACCGATACAGACATTCTCTATCACACACACACACATACAAACTGTTAAAATAATTTAGTGACTTACCTGGGGTCCAGTGGCTGCCTCATGCTGAGGGAAGTCAGAGCTCCCACTCTGACTCCCTCCTCTCCTCCTAGGTGGCGCTCAGTTGGCTGGGATTAAGTGACGGCTTCCTCCCAGCTCTGACATCATCAATGGGGCCCGGTCGCACTCTTAAAGCGCCGCAGTGCTGACCGGGCCCCAGGAAATCCATTGCCATCGGGTGGGCCCAAGAGCATGGGCCACCCAATGGGCTCCTTCAATGCAGCTCCGGCGTTTTTTCCGAGCAGTCAGGGCCGCACCAAAATGCTGGCGGGCACCCTGGTCGCAGCTGCGACCCCTGCGACCGCGGTAGTTCCGCCAGTGGTGATGACTCATCATAACAACTGAATAACTCAGTAGCCCAATAGCTTAAATTATTTAACCAATCATTCACCTTAGTCTAATTTAATAAAGTAACAGTGCAGGACACTGATACAATAGCAACATCACCAATTCAACAATACAATTCTGATCTAGCAGTCCACCATGCTCCAACAAGTAATGGCCAACTTACAGCCAATGGACATGTGCACGGTAAAACATGTTTGCTTCTCTCAAATTTATTTTGTTTGGATTTCAAAGATTTTTTTGGTTCTGGAGAATTTTTGCAAAAACGTTTAGTTCAAAAGTTAGAAGAATTTCAACCTAAATATTGCCAGGCAAGTTACCCTAAAATCAAGAAAAAAAAGTTGTCTATAGTGTCCCACCAACAAGAAAGCAACTCTCAAACAGTAAATCAGTGATTCAAAGATTGTCACGGTGCCAGCTGGGTCTGCTCCTATCGTAGAGCGGTCTTGGACCCGGTGGGCGCACCTTGTTCAGCTGGATTCCCACTGGGAAATGGGAATGCCGCTTGCTCTTCCTACATGTCTCCAGCATGTTCCATCCGGAGTGTTCCATAATTTGAAGTACCCGGATAGATATTTTAAAGGTAATAATTGCCTCTCTCTAAGTGCTACACTTTTTATTCTTTACTATTTGTTGGTGTTATTTCGGAAAAGTTACACTTACTGGTGTTTAGTTGCTATTTATTTAGATTCCCTTTGGAAACTCTGCTTTCCTGACCTCGGCCTGCTTTCTTCCATATAGTGTTAAGTGCGGCTATTCTATGGTCTGGTAACACATTTTGGATTCTTTATTTTAATTTCTTTGTTACTTACGTTCTGCATGTTGGGCATTTAATGTATCGTGACAAAGATGGTGAAAGGCAGTGGTTACTAACAAATTTCACTGCCATCCGAAGTCTGTATCAACCAAAACGGCTAGGATGTCATGCTATTCACTTTATTCAGAATCTGGATTTCAGAAATTCGAACTGACACCCAACTGAACCGAATCTACAAGTGATTTTACTGGGCGAAAACAGCCCTAAAACTCAATTTACTTAATTAGCAGGACACAGAGCACAAAGTTCTAGCCCCAGATTCCACTGTCCTCTCCAATCAGCCCAGTGTGAACATCTTTCCTATCTCCAGTCAATAAAGCGTGGGGTGCCCCCAAGGAGAATTCCTAGACATATTATAACATATTATAACTGCTACTGTTCTACTTAATGCATCTCCATTTCACTTTACCTTTCCATTCCTTCTCGGGCTGGCATTAAGTTCAATAAAACATGTTATATACACTGTATGAATTATTTTATGTTTCCCTGCTTTTAAACCAAGTGAGAAGCAGAGACGGCTTTCTCCGATCCCAGGGGAGACGAAGGCCTGGAGTTTTATGCTAATATAATTGTTTGTGGGTGTTTGGAAAGCTAAAGTGATGTTCCCACAGCAGAATCCAGGAGTCAAACAAGCAGATACAAAATGTTCTTCAATGCAGGAAACTCCTTCGCTGCCAGAATGAGGGCTGTCAAAATAATATCCATATTTAATGCAGACGCTACAATAACTGCAAAATGCGGAGAGAGAGAACAGATAGAGAGCAAGTGTCTCTTCCATCGTGCAGCCAGAGATAAGCGTTATTATATCTTCTCTGTCTTCCATTGTGGAAAGTCATGCCAGTCTGGAGAACGTCTTTATTAATCGTGGCATTTCTCGGGTGTCTTTGTTTTTCTTTCTTTGTAAATGTAGAACTGTCTGAGCATTTCAGGATTCCAAATTAGAACTAGAATTAGCCAATGGGTGTTGAGCAGCAGACAGATGTGTTTCTGATTGGCTGCATAGTGCTCCTTGATTTGTGTATTTCTCAGCACTCTGCTTCATCAATAAAATAATTTAATGCGCACTATAGTCACTGTAACAGCTTCCTCTCATCGCAGTGGTTATAGTGTCTGGAATCCTGTTGCGCTGCCCTTCCATTCAGCATTCAATCATTTTTAATCTTTTAATGCTAAATAAGAGTCCACAGAAGCCCATAACCAATGTGCTTCTCGGACTATTGGTGGCCAAAGACCCGTATTTAGTGTTAAGCTCCTCGAAAAATGTTTTCACAGTGAAAGGGTGGACTAAAAGCACTATAACTACTTCAATGAGATAAAATGGTTATAGTACCTACAATGTCCCTTTAAAGCGACACTCCAGGTTCCCACACACGTTAGATACACTGTGTAGGTTAGGTTACAGTTAGTTATACTGGGTGGGTTTATATTATTAAAGGGACACTCCAGGCTCCCACACACGTTAGATGCACTGTGTAGGTTAGGTTACAGTTAGTTATACTGGGTGGGTTTATATTATTAAAGGGACACTCCAGGTTCCCACACACGTTAGATGCACTGTGTAGGTTAGGTTACAGTTAGTTATACTGGGAGGGTTTATATTATTAAAGGGACACTCCAGGTTCCCACACACGTTAGATGCACTGTGTAGGTTAGGTTACAGTTATACTGGGTGGGTTTATATTATTAAAGGGACACTCCAGGCTCCCACACACGTTAGATGCACTGTGTAGGTTAGGTTACAGTTAGTTATACTGGGTGGGTTTATATTATTAAAGGGACACTCCATGCTCCCACGCACGTTAGATGCACTGTGTAGGTTAGGTTACAGTTAGTTATACTGGGTGGGTTTATATTATTAAAGGGACACTCCAGGCTCCCACACACGTTAGATGCACTGTGTAGGTTAGGTTACAGTTAGTTATACTGGGTGGGTTTATATTATTAAAGGGACACTCCAGGCTCCCACACACGTTAGATGCACTGTGTAGGATAGGTTACAGTTAGTTATACTGGGTGGGTTTATATTATTAAAGGGACACTCCAGGCTCCCACACACGTTAGATGCACTGTGTAGGTTAGGTTACAGTTAGTTATAATGGGTAGGTTTATATTATTAAAGGGACACTCCAGGCTCCCACACACGTTAGGTGCACTGTGTAGGTTAGGTTACAGTTAGTTATACCGGGTGGGTTTATATTATTAAAGGGACACTTCAGGCTCCCACACACGTTAGATGCACTGTGTAGGTTAGGTTACAGTTAGTTATACCGGGTGGGTTTATATTATTAAAGGGACACTCCAGGCTCCCACACACATTAGGTGCACTGTGTAGGTTAGGTTACAGTTAGTTATACCGGGTGGGTTTATATTATTAAAGGGACACTCCAGGCTCCCACACACGTTAGATGCACTGTGTAGTTTAGGTTACAGTTAGTTATACTGGGTGGGTTTATATTATTAAAGGGACACTCCAGGCTCCCACACACGTTAGGATGCACTGTGTAGGTTAGGTTACAGTTAGTTATACTGGGTGGGTTTATATTATTAAAGGGACACTCCAGGCTCCCACACACGTTAGGTGCACTGTGTAGGTTAGGTTACAGTTAGTTATACTGGGTGGGTTTATATTATTAAAGGGACACTCCAGGCTCCCACACACGTTAGGTGCACTGTGTAGGTTAGGTTACAGTTAGTTATACTGGGTGGGTTTATATTATTAAAGGGACACTCCAGGCTCCCACACACATTAGATGCACTGTGTAGTTTAGGTTACAGTTAGTTATACTGGGTGGGTTTATATTATTAAAGGACACTCCAGGCTCCCACACACGTTAGGTGCACTGTGTAGGTTAGGTTACAGTTAGTTATACTGGGTGGGTTTATATTATTAAAGGGACACTCCAGGCTCCCACACACGTTAGATGCACTGTGTAGGTTAGGTTACAGTTAGTTATACTGGGTGGGTTTATATTATTAAAGGGACACTCCAGGCTCCCACACACGTTAGATGCACTGTGTAGGTTAGGTTACAGTTAGTTATACTGGGTGGGTTTATATTATTAAAGGGACACTCCAGGCTCCCACACACGTTAGATGCACTGTGTAGATTATGGTTACAGTTAGTTATACTGGATGGGTTTATATTATTAAAGGGACACTCCAGGCTCCCACACGTTAGGTGCACTGTGTAGGTCAGGTTACAGTTATACTGGGTGGGTTTATATTATTAAAGGGATACTCCAGGCTCCCACACATGTTAGATGCACTGTGTAGGTTAGGTTACGGTTATACTGGGTGGGTTTATATTATTAAGGGACACTCCAGGCTCCCACACACGTTAGATGCACTGTGTAGGTTAGGTTACAGTTAGTTATACTGGGTGGGTTTATATTATTAAAGGGACACTCCAGGCTTCCACACACGTTAGATGCACTGTGTAGGTTAGGTTACAGTTAGTTATACTGGATGGGTTTATATTATTAAAGGGACACTCCAGGCTCCCACACACGTTAGGTGCACTGTGTAGGTTAGGTTACAGTTAGTTATACTGGGTGGGTTTATATTATTAAAGGGACACTCCAGGCTCCCACACACATTAGATGCACTGTGTAGGTTAGGTTACAGTTAGTTATACGGGGTGGGTTTATATTATTAAGGGACACTCCAGGCTCCCACACACGTTAGATGCACTGTGTAGGTTAGGTTACAGTTAGTATACTGGGTGGGTTTATATTATTAAAGGACACTCCAGGCTCCCACACACGTTAGATGCACTGTGTAGGTTAGGTTACAGTTAGTTTTACTGGGTGGGTTTATATTATTAAAGGGACACTCCAGGCTCCCACACACGTTAGGTGCACTGTGTAGGTTAGGTTACAGTTAGTTATACTGGTTGGGTTTATATTATTAAAGGGACACTCCAGGCTCCCACACACATTAGATGCACTGTGTAGTTTAGGTTACAGTTAGTTATACTGGGTGGGTTTATATTATTAAAGGACACTCCAGGCTCCCACACACGTTAGGTGCACTGTGTAGGTTAGGTTACAGTTAGTTATACTGGGTGGGTTTATATTATTAAAGCGACACTCCAGGCTTCCACACACGATAGATGCACTGTGTAGGTTAGGTTACAGTTAGTTATACTGGGTGGGTTTATATTATTAAAGGGACACTCCAGGCTCCCATACTCGTTAGATGCACTGTGTAGGTTAGGTTACAGTTAGTTATACTGGGTGGGTTTATATTATTAAAGGGACACTCCAGGCTCCCACACACGTTAGATGCACTGTGTAGATTAGGTTACAGTTAGTTATACTGGATGGGTTTATATTATTAAAGGGACACTCCAGGCTCCCACACACGTTAGGTGCACTGTGTAGGTTAGGTTACAGTTATACTGGGTGGGTTTATATTATTAAAGGGACACTCCAGGCTCCCACACACGTTAGATGCACTGTGTAGGTTAAGTTACGGTTATACTGGGTGGGTTTATATTATTAAAGGGACACTCCAGGCTCCCACACACGATAGATGCACTGTGTAGGTTAGGTTACAGTTAGTTATACTGGGTGGGTTTATATTATTAAAGGGACACTCCAGGCTTCCACACACGATAGATGCACTGTGTAGGTTAGGTTACAGTTAGTTATACTGGATGGGTTTATATTATTAAAGGGACACTCCAGGCTCCCACACACGTTAGGTGCACTGTGTAGGTTAGGTTACAGTTAGTTATACTGGGTGGGTTTATATTTATAAAGGGACACTCCAGGCTCCCACACACATTAGATGCACTGTGTAGGTTAGGTTACAGTTAGTTATACGGGGTGGGTTTATATTATTAGAGGGACACTCCAGGCTCCCACACACGTTAGATGCACTGTGTAGGATAGGTTACAGTTAGCTATACTGGGTGGGTTTATATTATTAAAGGACACTCCAGGCTCCCACACACGTTAGATGCACTGTGTAGTTTAGGTTACAGTTAGTTATACTGGGTGGGTTTATATTATTAAAGGGACACTCCAGGCTCCCACACACGTTAGATGCACTGTGTAGGTTAGGTTACAGTTAGTTATAATGGGTGGGTTTATATTATTAAAGGGACACTCCAGGCTCCCACACACGTTAGATGCACTGTGTAGGTTAGGTTACAGTTAGTTATACTGGGTGGGTTTATATTATTAAAGGGACACTCCAGGCTCCCACACACGTTAGATGCACTGTGTAGGTTGGGTTACAGTTAGTTATACTGGGTGGGTTTATATTATTAATGGGACACTCCAGGCTCCCACACACGTTAGATGCACTGTGTAGGTTGGGTTACAGTTAGTTATACTGGGTGGGTTTATATTATTAAAGGGACACTCCAGGCTCCCACACACGTTAGATGCACTGTGTAGGTTAGGTTACAGTTAGTTATACTGGGTGGGTTTATATTATTAAGGGGACACTCCAGGCTCCCACACACGTTAGGTGCACTGTGTAGGTTAGGTTACAGTTATACTGGGTGGGTTTATATTATTAAATGGACACTCCAGGCTCCCACACACGTTAGGTGCACTGTGTAGGTTAGGTTACAGTTAGTTATACCGGGTGGGTTTATATTATTAAAGGGACACTCCAGGCTCCCACACACGTTAGATGCACTGTGAAGGATAGGTTACAGTTAGCTATACTGGGTGGGTTTATATTATTAAAGGGACACTCCAGGCTCCCACACACGTTAGGTGCACTGTGTAGGTTAGGTTACACTGTGTAGGTTAGGTGGATTTATATTATTAAAGGGACACTCCAGGCTCCCACACACGTTAGATGCACTGTGTAGGTTAGGTTACAGTTATACTGGGTGGGTTTATATTATTAAAGGGACACTTCAGGCTCCCACACACGTTAGGTGCACTGTGTAGGTTAGGTTACAGTTATATTGGGTGGGTTTTAATTATTAATGGGACACTTCAGGCTCCCACACATATTAGATGCACTGTGTAGGTTAGGTTACAGTTATACTGGGTGGGTTTATATTATTAAAGGTACACTCCAGGTTCCTACACACGTTAGATGCACTGTGTAGGTTAGGTTACAGTTAGTTATACTGGGTGGGTTTATATTATTACATGGACACTCCAGGCTCCCACACACGTTAGATGCACTGTGTAGGTTAGGTTACAGTTAGTTATACTGGGTGGGTTTATATTATTAATGGGACACTCCAGGCTCCCACACACGATAGATGCACTGTGTAGGTTAGGTTACAGTTCGTTATACTGGGTGGGTTTATATTATTAAAGGGACACTCCAGGCTCCCACACACGTTAGATGCACTGTGTAGGTTAGGTTACAGTTAGTTATACTTGGTGAGTTTATATTATTAAAGGGACACTCCAGGCTCCCACACACGTTAGGTACACTGTGTAGGTTAGGTTACAGTTAGTTATACTGGGTGGGAGGAAGGAGAGGAGAGGAGGCAGTCAGAGTAGGAACTCTGACTCCCATCAGCCTGAGCCACCACTGGACCCCAGGGACACCAACCTCCTTCATCTAAAATTTAGGGAACAGGAGGGTGACTTATGTGTGTGTGTGTATGTCTCTGTATGTGTGTGTGTTAGTGTGTCTGTATGTATGTGTGTATGGCTCTGTATTTATGTATGTCTCTGTATGTATGTGTGTCTCTGTATCTCTGTGTGTGTGTGTGTATGTCTCTGTATGTGTGTGTGTCTCTGTGTGTAAGTGTTTGTGTATCTGCACGTGTGTCTGCATGTATATATGTATCTTTGTGTTTCTGCATTTGCATGTGTGTGTATCTGTATGTGTTATATGGTGTGTATCTGCATGTATGTCAGTGTGTGTTCGTATATCTGCATGTGTGTCAGTTTATGCAGGGGTTTGTCTGTGTACATGTCACCCCACCACACACTGCCACCCCCTTCAAACTGCCACACTCACAATAACTCCACCAATCCTTTCACTCACCCATGCCATACTCACCACCCATTGCTCTGCCATATCCACCCCATTACACTCACCTTCTCTCACACTGTCACACTCACCCCCTCAATCCTTTCACTCACCCATGCCATACTCACCACCCATTGCTCTGCCATATCCACCCCATTACACTCACCTTCTCTCACACTGTCACACTCACCCCCCCAATCCTTTCACTCACCCATGCCATACTCACCACCCATTGCTCTGCCATATCCACCCCATTACACTCACCTTCTCTCACACTGTCACACTCACCCCCCCAATCCTATCACTCACCCATGCCATACTCATCACCCATTGCTCTGCCATATTCACCCCATTACACTCGCCTTTTCTCACACTGTCACACTAACCCTGCCAATCCTGTCACACACTTTCTCCATCACTTTGTCACACTCGCCCCCTTTCACCCTGCCACACTCACCCTATCTCATTAACCGCTCCATTTCTCTCATACTCAACCCCTGAACCATGCCACACCAACCCTGTGGGTTGTGAATGAGACGCATGGAAGGGCTAAGGGGCTGGGGGGAGGGTTAGACGTATAGGGGGGGCCCAGGGTAATTTTTGCACCTGGGCCCTATGGTTTCTAGTTATGCCTCTGCTCGTGTTATACCTTCTGGGACAGAGAAAGAGGTGGATGTAGTGAGTAGCAGAGAGGGGACATGGTACATTGTACACAGTGCGCAAAGTCAGCTTTACGGCAACTATTTTATAGCCAGTCCACAAAAGCTTTGTTTTCCTACATCCCTCCTAAGGGCATGTGAAGTATAGTGGTTTTGGGGGGATTAATGTGCCAATTCCATGGGCGTTCGGCTTAGAGCTGCAGCATCGTTAGTCCCTATGTCATGTTAATTTGACCTTAAACAATAATGCAAATTATAAAGATGATTGAAAAATGTAAACAGTTTGTCAATATACTTATCTGCTAACAATGACTCTATTATTTCACAAACCTATAGCCATTAATGCCATATTAACAGTGTCTGAATATCATGGGATTCCCTGTCTGCACTCCCAGAATCTTTACCAATCCTGTGACTATATTGGCTACAATCTCCTTTCTAAAATAACCGTATTTTGCATATTTGGAACACTTTTATGTAATATACCTGGGAAGGAATGGGTTACTATGCAGAGTATTTTATTTCAAGCTTCTTACGGTAACAGATAAAATACATGGTTATTAATATTGAAAAGGACATTAGCGTATTTTTATGAGTTGAGACTCGTGGGACGCATTGGGTTAAATAATGCAATAACGGAATTCTCGAACAGCCGTTAAAGGGACAGTAATGTTTAGTTTATTGTCAATAATACTTAAGAGATATGTCTTGTAAAGTATAACGTGCGTGCCCAAATATTGGCGATGAGTGGGAGCTCTCTCAAGGCAACTTATTGCCAATTCTTTTGAAACCATTTTGTTTAATGCAGGCTGTGTCAGTCACAGCCAGGGGAGGTATGGCCAGGGCTGCATTAACAGAAACAAGAGTGAGACTGCAGGGCCTGATCTATACACCAAAACTCTCTATTAAGATAACGTTGTTTTGGTGCTTCGAGTGCCCTTTAAGGTCAAGGATTACAACAAAAACAAAGAATATGAGACTCTGAGAATAGACAAAAGCTTAGAGAAACTCAGTAGCTTGTCCGCCGGTAAAAATATAGGTTTTCGTTCAGATGGCATATTTCATAGTGGGTATCATCAGCAATATTCTATGTACCATCATACTTCATGTTAATAGCTGTCTATACCTTTTGTGAATAATTTTCAAATTTGTGTAACCTTTTTTTATCATAGAGAGACAGACAAAAATAAATGTCCAATAAGAGCGGGCATTTTGGGCACAGGGCATCATCATTAAATCATAGTTGTGAGGTGACGGCTGTCCGTTAAGCTGAATGAACTGTACCGTGCCAAGATGGAATGATAGACAGTTATACACAAAAATCTATAGAATGGTGATTTATTAATAAAATACGTTTTGTAAATGTCAGTTTACAGGTAACATTTTTGACAAAATATTGATGATAGAAACGTATCCTCTGTGCAACCAGAATAGGTAACTACAGCACTCAATCCTTGCCGCAAAGTTCAATTGATCACACGTAGAGTTCATTGTATCTCAGACCCCGAAGACAAGTTCTGGCTAGTGTACGATTTATTGATGACATTGTATTACTTATCTTAAGCATGGTTAAATACAACAGAAAACAAACCAATACTATCACCACAATCACGTGTGAATAGTGTGAAATAAGTATGCAATATACTTATCAGGTAAATCAAGTGGGCAGCCTCCCAGGTAGTGATCTTTAGACCAGAGTACAAGCAAAACACATATGGGATACGGCTGTGGAATCTAAAAAGAACACAGACAAAAGAGAGGTCTCTGGGGAAGTTACAAGTGTTGGACGAAACGCGTAAGACCACAACTACTGCTGTTTTACCAATTTTATTTGATTTATAATAAAAGCTGTTATTTTATACTACCATCCGGAGTCCTGATTTCCTGTAGCCCCATGTAGCGAAAGCGCAGCTAAGTGGAAAGGGCCCTTGACAGGGCTCGGAGGAAGCATGTAGGGATTGATGGTTTGGGGGTTGGGCTATATAAATAGGCAGCCATCTTAGCAAAGTCACTTTATACTTGCCTACCTGGCTGAGTTTGTCCCACGGAGGGATAGGGAGCTGAAGGAGAGGAAATAGGCTCCCCATGAGGGTGGTTAATGGAAATGGTTGAATATGGTTATTGGTAAGTTTGGTAGGTTTCGAGCCCTGTCGGTGGCTCAGAACCTGGTGGGGTAGGGGTATCCGGGTATACCCCTACCATGATTAATTAACAATGTTGGCATTTTAAGTTATGTTCATATTTGAATACTGTTATATGTTATTTATTTATATATAGGCGTCATTGCCTTTTATATCTAACTGAAGGATACGGATGTGATGGCGGGGTGTGGGGCAATGACCTGTTTTTTCTATGTTAATTTATTATTACTATTTAATAAAAGCTGGAGACAATTTTGCCCCATATAGCCTAATGTCTTTGTTTTATTGGGATAGGGATGTGGGGGTTTTGTCCTGATATCATCTGCCCATATGGTGACTATAGCCCCCCAATTACATCGGGGGAGGCACCCTTTGAGCGCATAATACGTCTACATCTTGTGAGTGCATTTTTGTACAGCGCACATTATTTGTTAAAATTGGATTACACTATGTTTTGTCTGTCTTCTTTTTATGGGTTTCGCTTGTTAGCTAAAGCATGCATTGTCACTGACACATTTGTAGTTGACTTTATATACTGATAAACACTTATTTAACAACTTAATTTACTGCAACCACTTATAGGTCTACAGAAGAAAGAAACATTAAGTAGATTTTATTATTAGTTTATTAGCTTGTGTTTTCCTTTTGGGGGGCTTACCCTTTGTCCTGACCTAAAGACACCCTTTTTTATACACACTTAAACAAACACACATATTCATATACGCACACACCAACAAACACACATATTCATATACGCACACACCAACAAATACACATATTCATATATGCACACACCAACAAACACACATGCAGTCTTATACACGCACACACCAACAAACACGCATATTCATATACGCACACACAAACAAACACACACATATTCATATACGCACACACCAACAAACACACATATTCATATACGCACACACCAACAAACACGCATATTTATATACGCACACACCAACAAACACGCATATTCATATACGCACACACCAACAAACACACATATTCATATACGCATACACCAACAAACACTCATATTCATATACGCACACACCAACAAACACACATATTCATATACGCACACACCAACAAACACACATATTCATATACGCACACACCAACAAACACGCATATTCATATACGCACACACCAACAAACACGCATATTCATATACGCACACACCAACAAATACACATGCACTCTTATACACGCACACACCAACAAACACGCATATTCATATACGCACACACCAACAAACACACATGCACTCTATACACGCACACACCAACAAACACACACACAACACGCATATTCATATACGCACACACCAACAAACACATATTCATATACGCACACACCAACAAACACGCATATTCATATACGCACACACCAACAAACACGCATATTCATATACGCACACACCAACAAATACACATGCACTCTTATACACGCACACACCAACAAACACACATATTCATATACGCACACACCAACAAATACACATGCACTCTTATACACGCACACACCAACAAACACACATATTCATATACGCACACACCAACAAATACACATGCACTCTTATACACGCACACACCGCCAGTCTGTACACATAAATTGCTTTTACCTGTCCTTATCCCAAAAAGCAGATCATGATATATATCGTCAGGGCACACCAGGTTCCAACGTAGATTTATTGCCATAAACTCGAAATTTCTAGCTTGGAACATCTTGGATCACAGATAGAATGGTCTCAGTAAAGATTACCAACTTATCTTTCCATTCCAGGGAAGGGACTGTAATTGCCACAAGTCAGCAGGAGTAGATAATAATGGGGGGAGGGGGGGTGGGCGGGGGGCGCTGCAAGATTATGGCCCGCAGAAATGCGCTATAAACAAGCTTGTTGTTGTATCATTACTAAGGAGACTTAAGAAAAGAAACATTGCGCGTTTACATTTGACCTTCCCCAACCTTTCTGAATGCATTGTGTAAGTGCCCCTTATTAAAACCGGAATTTGGGAAACTAAAATCCCATTAAACAAAATAAAGAAATAGACGTTTCTCTTCTCTAGTGTTTGAGAACAAAGTGGACTTTTTAAGATGAATGGTTATTTTTTTTTATATTGAACAGCCCTCCAGAGACCCACGGCCTCATCTGCTGTGTGAAGTTTTGTGTTTTTATTTTGAAATTGATGTAAATTCTCTAATACCTTCTAAACTTAGCTGGTTTATTCACCAGCGAATCGTGGCGAATTGCAAATAATAAAGAGAACTAGCTGTAATGGTAGCATTTACCATCAGATTTCCCTCTCCTAAAATGTGATTATTTTTTTTTACCAATCTCCCGCCATTCATGTTTAGCGAATAAACTATTATGTGAAAATTGGTGTTTTTAGCAGCAGGCGCAGGGACTGGCACAGATAGACATATTGAGAAATAATCTGAGAGGCCTCCATTTTGCAAAGTCTTGACAGGCGCATAGTCACCATATGGACAGGTGGAATTACCCCCAAAACTTACCCCAAAAACACACTGACACTGATGTATGGGTCAATATGTCCACAGCTTTATTAATGTTGATAACAATAAATTAAAGTCATTGCCCAGCCCCCATTACGCCATATAACATCATATGTCCCCGAAACAAAAGGCAATGACCCATTCTTTCTGTAAATATAAATAACATCAACGACCTTAATAACAAACATCATAAACATAATATAAGTGCCAAACTTAGTTAAATAACCATGGTAGGGACATACCCAGACACCTCTACCACCCACCAGAATCTGAGCCACCACCGAGCTCGAAACCTACCAAAGTTCATAACGAACCGTTTAACCAGACTCTTCACCAGCAGCCTAACTGCCCTATTCTATTTACACTACCCCAGAGTCGGTTTGTCCCCTAATGTTTCTCTCTCTAGCCCTGCCGCTGTGACCAAACGGGAGCTAACACCCCTTACCCTTTACATGGGAGAGTGGGAGGGACAATTTAGGCCAGGTAAGCAGATTAAAAGTGCTTGTCACTACAATGGTGTCCTATTTATACTGGGCCAAGCCCTTTTTACACTCTCACTCCACTCCCACAAGGGGCCTTCCTCCTATGCCCGCCTCCTAGCTCTGTCAAGCCCCTTTCCACTAAGCTGCGCTTGTTCCATAGGGTTGGGTTACATTGTTGTTTTGCAATAATCAATGTATCAGATTTTGCAAAGTCTAGCCTAGAATTCTTTGTGTGATCCTGCGTATTGTAGGAAAGCTAGTGAGTCTTGGAATTTGTTTGGGGAGATTGAATACTTCACGTGGATTAATAATAAATTCTGGAGAGTAAGACAAACTGTTACAAATAACATTTTAGTATTTTACAAGAAATTCTGTTTTTATGGATAAAATCATATTTATTAAAATGTGCACCATGTTAATTTGCAAACCTACCAACACTTTACATGGGCATAGAGGGACGTTTTCATTTTAGTGGTGTGCGGGTAAGGGTGTGGCCAGGGGCGGTCTGTTCTGGCTGTGAGTGGGTGTGTGGCCAGGGGCGGTCTGTTCTGGCTGTGGGTGGGTGTGTGGCCAGGGGCGGTCTGTTCTGGCTGTGAGTGGGTTTGTGGCCAGGGGCAGTCTGTTCTGGCTGTGAGTGGGTGTGTGGCCAGGGGTGGTCTGTTCTGGCTGTGAGTGAGTGTGTGGCCAGGGGCGGTCTGTTCTGGCAGTAAGTGGCTGTGGCCAGGGGGCAGGGCAGTCTGTTCTGGCTGTGAGTGGGTGTGTGGCCAGGGGCGGTCTGTTCTGGCTGTGAGTGAGTGTGTGGCCAGGGGCGGTCTTTTCTGGCTGTGAGTGAGTGTGTGGCCAGGGGCGGTCTGTTCTGGCTGTGAGTGAGTGTGTGGCCAGGGGTGGTCTGTTCTGGCTGCGAGTGAGTGTTGCCAGGGGTGGTCTGTTCTGGCTGTGAGTGGGTGTGTGGCCGGGGACAGTCTGTTCTGGCTGTGAGTATTATATTACTGGGAGTATTATTGCTGTGGAGCTCTGTTATACACACAGACACATTACTGGGAGTATTATTACTGTGGAGCTATGTTATACACACAGACACATTACTGGGAGTATTATTGCTGTGGAGCTTCGTTATTCACTCAGACACATTACTGGGAGTATTATTGCTGTGGAGCTCTGTTATACACTCAGACACATTACTGGGAGTATTATTGCTGTGGAGCTCTGTTATACATTCAGACACATTACTGGGTGTATTATTGCTGTGGAGCTCTGTTACACACTCAGACACATTACTGGGAGTATTATTGCTGTGGAGCTTCGTTATACACTCAGACACATTACTGGGAGTATTATTGCTGTGGAGCTCTGTTATACACTCAGACACATTACTGGGAGTATTATTGCTGTGGAGCTCTGTTATACACTCAGACACATTACTGGGAGTATTATTGCTGTGGAGCTCTGTTATTCACTCAGACACATTACTGGAAGTGTTATTGCTGTGGGGCTCTGTTATACACTCAGACACATTACTGGGAGTATTATTGCTGTGGAGCTCTGTTATACACTCAGACACATTACTGGGAGTATTATTGCTGTGGAGCTCTGTTATACACTCAGACACATTACTGGGAGTATTATTGCTGTGGAGCTCTGTTATACACTCAGACACATTACTGGGAGTATTATTGCTGTGGGGCTCTGTTATACACTCAGGCACATTACTGGGAGTATTATTGCTGTGGAGCTCTGTTATACACTCAGACACATTACTGGGAGTATTATTGCTGGGGAGCTCTGTGATACACTCCAACAATGTGAAGCCCCTAGAAAAGAGGGACATTAGGAGAGAAAAGAGGGACAGAAAGACTTGGGCTCAAAATAGGGACTGTCCCTCCTGTATAGGGACACTTAGAGGGATGGCATTGTTCTGACAGCAGCACATTTTACTCCGATATCTTTGTGGTTCAGTTTGCTCATTTCACTTACTGGCTTTGGAATCTGCCTATTGAGAGCTGGTAAATGTGACTTTTAGAGGAATTTGTACAATGCATTGATTTTATGATGAGCGTTAAATAAAACTATTTTTTTGTTTTGCAGATAGATTTGTGACCCCAGCCCTTTTGATTGCAATGAGATTGAGCCTCCTGGCCTAATATTACCTCACTGCTAGAATTAGAGTCAATTAATTACAGTATCCCTTAGAAACCGCGGGAATTACTAACTGATGCTCTTAATTCCAGCCATTAAATACCCAAGAGTATCTGCAAAGAGAAAACACGGGGATACGTGCAAGCCTCGCGTTATAAGCCAGCCGCACTAATTCACACACTTTACCATCATGCTTTGCTTATGTGTAAATACAATGGGCATCCGGATATATAAAAAAATCAATATTATGGAAGGGGCAGAGGGAGAATTTGGCCGGTATTAAACATTGCACGTGTTGGACAGAGGTTAATGTCTGAGCTTTCACTGCAACTATTTAACTAAAAATATCTGACGGTAAATTACAAGAGGCTACTTGTTTATGTCTCTAGAATTGTGGGCTGTGATGCAAATGTAATGATATATCTATAAAACGATGTACCGTATATACTCGAGTATAAGCCGACCCGAATATAAGTCGAGGCCCCTAATTTTACCCCAAAAAACTGGGAAAATGTATTGACTCGAGTATAAGACTAGGGTGGGAAATGCAGCAGCTACTGGTAAATTTCTAAATAAAATTAGATCCTAAAAAAATTATATTAATTGAATATTTATTTACAGTGTGTGTATATGATGAATGCAGTGTGTGTATGAATGCAGTGTGTGTATGAGTGCGCAGTGTGTGTATGAATGCAGTGTGTGTATAAATGCAGTGTGTGTATGAATGCAGTGTGGACAAAAAAGTAAATCTATACTGTATGAAATACTAGTATAGATTAAAGGGGTAGCACAAAACATACAACCTGTAGATAATACAAAAACCTCCTTCACAAGATCTAAAATATAAGAAAAATCACATAATAGTGAAGCATGTACGAACAATATATAATTCACTCCCGGAGGTAGAGAACTTACAGGACCAAACTGTGGATCTGTGCTTGTCTCCCTTCCGTAGGGTATATGAATAACGATTCTTCTCTCAGGAAGCTTGTATATACGGACCAAAGGTGTGGATACAAGACACTCAATCCTCAAAAGGAAAAGAGGTATATAGAGCAGTATTGTAGATAAAAAATAATTTATTAATACAAATTGCACTTACATCAAGTGAAGCTCATAGCAGCATGTCACCACTAGCAAGTGGTACCCAGGAGAAGGAATCTCTCTGTAGCAGAATGTAAACATATATATATAAAAAAATACTAAAAAACACACATAAAAAAACAAAAAACAAAAAACAAAATGCAGTGTGTGTATGAGTGCGCAGTGTGTGTATGAATGCAGTGTGTGTATGAGTGCGCAGTGTGTGTATGAATGCAGTGTGTGTATGAGTGCAGTGTGTGTATGAGTGCAGTGTGTGTATGAATGCAGTGTGTGTATAAATGCAGTGTGTGTATGAGTGCAGTGTGTGTATAAATGCAGTGTTTGTATGAGTGCAGTGTGTGTATGAATGCAGTGTGTGTGTATATGAGTGCAGTGTGTGTATATGAGTGCAGTGTGTGTGTGTGTTATGCAGTGTGTGTTTGTGTTGCAGAGCCTTGGTGGGGGGTGGGCATTTTTATAAAAAAAAATAATTATTATTTTAATTTTTTTTTGTTATATTATTATTTTTTTTATTTTTTTTTATTATTATTTTTATTATTATTTATTTATTTTTTGTCCCCCCTCCCTGCTTGATACATGGCAGGGAGGGGGGCTCTCCTTCCTTGGTGGTCCATTGGCAGTTCAGTGGGGGGAGGAGGGGGGCTGGCAGAGCTGTTACTTACCTCTCCTGCAGCTCCTGCCAGCTCCCTCCTCCTCCGCGCCGGTTCGTGCAGCTCTTCTCTCAGCTCACACTGTAAGTCTCGCGAGAGCCGCACTATGACCCTGCGGCTCTCGCGAGACTTACACTGGGAGCTGACTGAGGTGCTGACCGGACCGGCGCGGAGGAGCAGGGAGCTGACAGGAGCTGCAGGAGAGGCAAGTAACAGCTCTGCCAGCCCCAGTCTGTATTATGGCAATGTAAATTAATGTAAGTTGCCATAATACAGACAGTGACTCGAGTATAAGCCGAGTTGGGGTTTTTCAGCACAAAAAATGTGCCGAAAAACTCGGCTTATACTCGAGTATATACGGTATTCTTAGCTAGCTGTACCTACTGCGTGTGACAATCTAGCCACTTTCAGGCACTCACGGGCAGAGCTAGGTGGTAAAATCAGAATTGTCCGTAGTTCAAATTTTAGATCAATATAGCGGAATTGGGTTACATTTTCCAAATCTGCTACTTTGGCCTTGCATTTGAAATCCCCTTTAGTTTATGTATGTACGTAATGGGCAATCGCAATGCAGCATAATAACATAAACTGACCCAAGGCAACCCCAAAATAATGACAGACAACGTATTATGGATGAAACAGGCCACAGCATTTATTATAACATATGATAATTACTGTATAACACATCCATAATTTATTTAATAATCTCTCTTCTTTTCTGTAACCAAAACGTTAAACATAAATAACCATAAGTTAAGATATATAACTTAACACATAGCGTCATACGGTGTAACCCAACCGTCCTTGCCAATAACTGACCATGCGCCTATGTACCACTTCTTCTCACATCCCCCCTCAGCATAAACTCCTTTTCCTTCCAATGCTTACCACCAGCTGACCTTTTCCTCGCTCGGTGGGCACGACACCCCAGGTAACCTAATGTTAACCCTTTAGAGCAGGGGAGGTTGAGACCTGAAACTTGTTCACTTCATTCCACATAATTAACGTAACCACCTCAAACTTAATTGGCAAGGACCCCCGGCTAGCTATGACGGAAAAAAAACAATAGGGAGGGAAGCTGTTTGCTGGTCCGAATGCCAAGTGGCACTGAGGTAAGACCACCCCCACACTAACTCACATAGAACATTATCCCACCCACACACACTCTTTCCCAACCAATCCCATGCATCTATCCCCACACTCCTACATGTGCCCTTGTCCGCTTAGCTGCGCTATCTCCCCAGGGCCTGGACAATTGTCACTTTACAAAGAACCTTGAAAGTAAAATTTGTTAAATATTTTTTTTACAGTGGAGGTTAAGATGATGTTGTATAATCTCTAACACATTCTTCCACTTCAACATGTCTGCAAAATATTGAGAAAAGGGTTAAACACAAATGCAATGAATTGAATTTATAAAATACATAAATTATAGATAAATTCACGTGTGAAATGCCAGTTTACACTTTTTTGCCCCAGGAAGTCTACATTATACAGCGCACAAGTAGCAAGATTATTGTCGGCAGTGGGTTTTCTGGTTACTGACCAGGATTTGATCTCCAGCTGATTTGTAAAGTGCTGAAACACTACAATGTCAATCAGAATAGAACTTCCAGATTGATTTAATGCCAGACCTCACATTCTCTCACTAACAAGCAGCATTTTTAGAAGCAGGTAAACATCGTAACTTTTACCGCAATATTTGAACCTATGTCTGTCTGCTATTTCATATAAAATCTAATTACTGCTTCCTTGATTTTTTGGGGGGTGCTTTGATAAATATATTTTTTTCAAAACTGACAGTTTAAAACAAAGGTTTACATTTTTTATACTTATGACCACGGGTACTGGCTGCTTGCAGTGCTGATAGTATTTCATAATAGCCCCCTCTGACAAAGTTAAACTATGAGAAACAGCAGGCTGTCTCTGTAACTGCAATATTTTACATTGCAGGGCTAATGACAGGGACATTGCTGCCACACCACTTCAATAAGATGAAGCATTTTGGGTGCCTATAGTGACCCTTTAAATGTACTGTCAAAGTTCGTGTTTTTTTATGTACTTTAAAATAAAAATATGCATTACACAGAGATAGGTGTAAGTAGTTACCTAAATGGGAGACAACAGAGATTATTCGGTCCTATTATGATGTGGTCAACCACGTTAGCAAGCTTGAAAATTCACGGATCCCTTGTTGCAGTATTCTCTGTTTCAATGGGAAAAGTTAAAGGTAACATTCTAACTAAATCAAAAAGCTAAACATATTTTAATTGCTGTGATAGCTAACATGTAACAATGCATTTATAAACATCCTAAAACCATATATCCCGCGTACCTGTAATAGGTAATATTTGTAAAGAGCCGGCATGTGATGCAATCGTATAAAATATTAATCAGGTTTATGCACCATGTGGTCACACAGTTATGTGAAACTTGGAGAATTCTCTTGGATTGAAATGCAGTTCAATCAACTGTTCTGCAGAATTCCTAAATTCTCAGCTGAAATATTCCTGATCTAAGGACTAACTGAACCACACAATGCCAAACATGTCAATATTCTGAATTCGGCCAAAGGATGAGATAATTGATTCAGAAAAGAATGACTGAAGACAAGGGGACCGCCACTAAATCTTAATTTTATTTACAGATAAGTTAGAACAATACAGGAAAACACAGGAGGGGCAGTAAAAGTATATATTTCTCCATTTAATAATTATATCATCTATATTTATTTTACTGTTTGTGGTAACATGTGAGCAGGCAGGACTGGGATGTTAGTTAGAAGGTAGTTTACAAATGGTGGTAAAAGTGTAGAGAATACTATGTTTGCATTACACAAGCAGCGGGGGGCTATACCGGATAGAATGAGCTGTCTGTTAGCTGTTTCCAAACTGCCTCTGTTTAAACTGCAGCTTTAGACAAAATCGGCAGCCCCTAAGATTTATATATTGACTTATTTACTAAGCAATTAACTGAAATCAAAATTGCAAAACTGAGCTTAAAATGTGGTGATTATGGCCACATGGCAAAATTTTTCAAAAATCATCCATATTGACATGAATTGTGTAATCTGGGGTTCAGATGGCTACAAATCACTGTTTAATCAATAACCCTGTAGGTTTGTTTGATTCTTCAAATCACCTGGTTTTATTGTATCTATTTTGGCTTCAACTTCCCTGTGTATTCCCAAAAATTCAGGTACTAGTGACTAATCATGGAATGATATCATGGTCAATATATAATCATGGTGTTATATTTGGCCTTTTTTTACATTGTGATTGGTTTCATATTTTGGGGTACTCATCCTATAGTTCATATATACCATATTTTATATCCGTATTATTTATGTTGACATTTTAAGAATTATTCCAGCTAAAAATAAAGGTGTCACTAGAATTGTCCCAACAATGTTTAAATTCTGGCCAAACCACAGTCCGCTGTAACTAAACTCGCCCATCAGTCTCTATTCTAAATGGTGTTCACGTTATTATAAAGCGTATTGTTTTATCGAGTTACACATTACAGGGTCTCTGTATATTGTCACATATTAAATCAATGCTGAAATTCACACACCAGAATGATGACATAAAAAAAACACAGACTCTCCCCGGCCGCCTCAAACCTAATAATCATTTATTTCCTCGCTGCAAACTCTATCTCATGTTTAGGAAACAACCAGCGAAATCCCAGCTGGCCAAATTAGCCACAACGCAAAACTGCGCGCGCAGCTACAGATCACAGTTTGGTTATTAAGGAGTATATGTAGTTGCTGGGACACAGGACAGAAATGAATTTTATCGAATCCGGCTACTCGATCTACAAAGGAAATCTATTCCTTGTTATCTAACAATCATTAAAGCAATGTATATTCCAGTTTGTGAGGGCAATGTACCATTCAAGTTGCCTTTGATAAACACATAGTATCTCTGCTTGTAAGATTTGCTAAGACTGGAAATTGGAGTAAAAACACAGTATACATTGGTAGCAAAATATTATTTTTAAAATAATAATATAAAATAATTGGGTAAGTATAAAAACGTTTACTTTATTATTACTTCTGATGAAGCCTTGAAAGGAGAAACACATTAAGTGTGGTCCTGATAGTTTATTGAACTTTTTTTTTATTTTTATATGTTTTAAAAATTTGAAAAATAAATTAATACATAACTGCTATGTTCCTGTTTTGCTTCCAGAAATCTGCAATATCCTTAGGTGTGGATTATACCACCCAAACCTTATACCACAAGAGCAAGTCCTGCTCTAAAAATTGTAAGTACAATCCTTCCTTTTATAAATTGATCCAATAGTACCTACTTCACCAATGGAGCATCTCTTGTCTTTGTTTACCATATACTGTGCGGGCATTATCCATTTTGGAGGAATCCTCACATTTAGAACTGCAGATCCATTGATGGGGATTATACCGTCCATGTGCAATTCAGCAGAGCTCTATGGTAGCTCTGCAAAATGTGAGGGAGTCCTCCATAAAAATACCAAACTAATTTGTTTACATATTTTAACCATATTGAACGATTATTTGTCCTTCTTTGTGTTTTTTGTTGTTGTTGTTGTTGTTGAGGTTATCCAATTGGAACACTGAAAAGGCATTATTGCACTGTTGGGGTTCTATTTCTTGGAGCTGGGTTCCCCTGTTTCTTTTTGGTTGTATTTTATCTACAGGGTTCAGGAATCCTTGTGTGTGTTTCACTGCAGTCTCGACCTCTCAAATTATAGTGAGCGCCTAGTACATTTTTTTTCTTAAAATCCACTCAGTGCTGTCGCCCATTCCTCCTGTAACGTCATCCTGGACCCTGGTCACTTTCGGGTTTTTAGTTCAATCCAATGCTTTAATTCGACTTGGCATGTTTAAGCGATGCTTCCAGCATCCTATAACTGATTCAAACTCCGTTATGAGTGTGAAAGCACCCTCTCATAGCGGTAAGATCAGTCACTACAGGTGTGTTTAGCATTGCATTCTACAAAATAGAAATGGTTTAGATTACAGATCTAAAACGCCAGGGGGACTGCACCATTACTACTTAATTGAGAGGAAGTGGTCTGGTTACCTAAGTGATCCTTTAATAAATATAATAATTAAACATGTCATTCCGTAGACTGCTCTATGTGTGAGTCCCCTGTACACCAGTGACAGTTAAGCTTGGTCACAAACTACCCCAATATTTTTTTTTCACAAGAGGCTCCCTGGGATACGGTGTTAAATGCTCTCAGTAAAATATTTTGTAAAGTGCTCTGCAGGTTTATTTCTATGGTAATAGGTCCCAACAGAAGAATTGCATCCGGCCTGCAGTTCATCAATCATCCAAACACTCCAGTTTGTTCAATTCCCCATTTTATTAAATAAAAAATCTCCAGATGTAGGCGGTTGTAACAAAACAAATCAATGCATCAGGAAACGTTTACCTGAATGTATTCAATGCTACAACTCATCATGGTATATAAAGTGTATTCATTCACATATCTAACTGTTATATTATAGCTTGGCTAATATAGCTTGGTTGCTACATCTAAGTGCTGCTTCTAAGTGTGTAGTTGGAGATATTCTGGAGAATTTTACAGAAGCTTCAACTGTCTAAGATTTTCGAAGAGTTTTCTTTTCTACTGTTACAGGTAAGATTCATCTGTAGGAAAAGGTTACTGATTGCACAAGGTTTGAATTCCTGTTGGTAATTATAAGGCATTTGATTTGATTAGTTAGCTACTTGCTATTGATTGCTGGTTAATTAGCTATTGTTTGCAAATAAGCAGAGGCCTACCCAGGTGTTAAACATTCCTAGTGGGTGGTGATTTAAGGAGTTATATAAGGCTTGTTGTCATTAGCTTGGCTAATATAGCTTGGTTGCTTCATCTAAGTGCTGCTTCTAAGTGTGAGGTTGGAGATATTCTGGAGAGTGCTGCTTCTAAGTGTGAGGTTGGAGATATTCTGGAGAGTGCTGCTTCTAAGTGTGAGGTTGGAGATATTCTGGAGAGTGCTGCTTCTAAGTGTGAGGTTGGAGATATTCTGGAGAGTGCTGCTTCTAAGTGTGTGGTTGGAGATATTCTGGAGAGTGCTGCTTCTAAGTGTGAGGTTGGAGATATTCTGGAGAGTGCTGCTTCTAAGTGTGAGGTTGGAGATATTCTGGAGAGTGCTGCTTCTAAGTGTGTGGTTGGAGATATTCTGGAGAGTGCTGCTTCTAAGTGTGAGGTTGGAGATATTCTGGAGATAAACTGGAGGTAATCTGAGGTATTCAGGAGGACTAAAAAATACAAAATTTAAGATTTGTTTGATTTAAATTATTCTCCTAATTGGAATGTTAGACTTAGTTCAGTGTAATAGTTGATATGCATTTGTTTCATGTTCCACTTTTTGGAGGTTTGGTTGTTGTCTAATCTGTAGACAGTTCTCTATCTTGCAAAAATAAGGTATAAATGATTATACCAGACAAGTGGAGCGCTCTAAGCAATGAAAGGGTTTACTCACCCCCTTTTTAGTGCAGTGACAATCTTGAGAAACTTACATAGACATAAAAGGGGGAACAAGAAAAAGAAAAAAATATAGTGCAGACGGTTTATCCAAACAGACAGTTAATGGTAATAAATGACTAAGACCACTCACATGGACAGGAGCCTATATAGTATTGCTCTTTGGGCAGCAAACACCCCTTTGTCCCAGGCAGTATCACTCCAGGAGTATACAGCGAGAGAGAAAACAGAGAAGCAACTGTGTAGAAAGGCACATACTATATTGGTATAAAAAAGGGTATAAATAATAGTGCTCACCTTTTCCAGAGCCCTGAAATCCCGGCTCTGAGGTTAGAAAGCAATGTGCTATTTGTGGGGGGGAATAGCACTCTCCCCAATGGAGTTCCTGACGGCTAGAAAGGACTTTGGACTAAAATATAAAATAATAGTAATGTATATATTTATTAACAATAAAAACAAAATAAATACATACTAGAAAATAAAAAATCAAGTTGAAGTCCAATTAAAAGTTTAAAATAATCAGCTAAACGCGTTTCACTCTATGAACTTCCTCAGTAGCTGTTTTGTAAGTGTCTCAAGATTGTCACTGCACTAAAAAGGGGATTAGCAAAGCCTTTCATTGCTTAGAGCGCTCCACTTGTCTGGTATAATCATTTCTACCTTATTTTTGTATTTGTTTTTTATTGTGGGTAAGGGTTATTCAACTTTTAGTGTTGAGCAGCTTTTATCTTTTAGGCACTGTTAAGTAGCACTTTCTATCTCTTTGAGATAGCTCGTTTGTTTTACATTAGTTCTCTATATTGCGGCAGGAGATTGTATTTTTGAAGTCTGAGATTTGTAAATTATCTGGTGAACAAACTCAGGCTGGAACTGCCACTGCCGCAGAGACATACTAGGAATGGCAGATGGATTACTGTAGGATCTGGTAGGCTTAGAGTTGTGGATAAAAGACATTTTGCAGAGTCTGTTGCTCTTCATAATTCATTTGGAGCCATTCTCAGGCACCAGGTGTAGTGGTGTTATGGAGACAGTCACTGAGGGTAGTGGTGTTGTGGAGAGAGCTCATGAAAGATTCATGAACTTGTGGCAATAATGGCAACTGATAATGTAGATTTGGTCGCTGTTACTGAGACATGGTACAATGAGAAAAATGACTGGGACATAGCAATACCAGGGTACTCTTTATATAGAGGAAACAGGGAGGGCAAGAAAGGGGGAGGGGTGGCCCTGTATGTGAAGGATAGTATAAAATCTAGCCTAATAAAAGTTAGTGAGGCGAACATAGAGTCCGTTTGGGTGACGTTAGAATTTGGTAATCACACAGTAACTCGTGTAGGTGTGATTTATAGGCCTACAGGACAAATTGAAGAGTTAGATAATCTACTAGTTGAGGAAATAGCTAAAATGACAATGAAGGGGGAAGTTATCATCATGGGTGACTTTAATCTTTCTGATGTGAACTGGAATACCAAATTAGCTGCTTGTGCCAGGAGCACACATATTCTAAACTCCCTACTGGGATTCTCTCTACAACAAGTCGTTGAGGAGCCAACTCGTAAGGAGGCCATACTAGATTTAGTGTGAACAAATGGAGATTTGGTATCAGATATTACTGTAGGTGAAAGTTTAGGATCCAGTGATCATCAGTCAGTGTGGTTTAATATAAGAACAGTGACTGAGTCACACCACACAAAACCAAAAGTTTTAGACTTTAAAAAAACAGACTTTTCTAAAATTATAGTATGCGTAAAGGAGTCATTATCAGATTGCAGCAATTTAAAGGGAGTCCAAGAGAAATGGGATTATTTAAAAGTTACACTGCTGAAGGCAACAGAAAATTGCATCAGGCTTGTCAGTAAAAGCAAAAAACAATATTAAAGCATGGGCTTGCCACCAGTGGGGTACCTCAGGGATCTGTACTTGGACCCATTCGCTTTAATATTTTTATTAGTGATATTGCAGAAGGTCTTGATGGTATGTCTTTTTGCTGATGATACTAAGATATGTAACAGGGTTGATGTTCCAGGAGGGATAAGACAAATGGCAAATGATTTAAGTAAACTAGAAAAATGGTCAGAATTGTGGCAACTGATATTTAATGTGAATAAGTGCAAGATAATGCATCTTGGACGTAAAAACCCAAGGGCAGAGTACAGAATATTTGATAGTCCTAACCTCAACATCTGAGGAAAGAGATTTAGGGGTGATTATTTCTGATGACTTAAAGGTAGGCAGACAATGTAATAGAGCAGCAGGAAATGCTAGCAGAATGCTTGGTTGTATAGGGAGAGGTATTAGCAGTAGAAAGAGGGAAGTGCTCATGCCATTGTACAGAACACTGGTGAGACCTCACTTGGAGTATTGTACACAGTACTGGAGACCGTATCTTCAGAAGGATATTGATACCTTAGAGAGGGTTCAGAGAAGGGCTACTAAACTGGTTCATGGATTGCGGGATAAAACTTACCAGGAAAGGTTAAAGGATCTTAACATGTATAGCTTGGAGGAAAGACGAGACAGGGGGGATATGATAGAAACATTTAAATATATAAAGGGAATCAACACAGTAAAGGAGGAGACTATATTTAAAAGAAGAAAAACTACCACAACAAGAGGACATAATCTTAAATTAGAGGGGCAAAGATTTAAAAATAATATCAGGAAGTATTACTTCACTGAGAGGGTAGTGGATGCATGGAATAGCCTTCCACCTGAAGTGGTAGAGGTTCACACAGTAAAGGAGTTTAAGCATGCATGGGATAGGCATAAGGTTATCCTAACTATAAGATAAGGCCAGGGACTAATGAAAGTATTTAGAAAATTGAGCAGACTAGATGGCAGGGCCGGACTGGCCCACCGGGATACGGATAAGGGCGGGAGAGCAGAGCTAGCGCAGCTACCCCAGCGGCCGCCAGCAGACCTCCCCCAGCGGCCGCCAGCAGACCTCCCCCAGCGGCCGCCAGCAGACCTCCGCTTGGCAGGTATTAGTAATGTGTGTCAGTGTTTGTCTGTCTGTCTGTATCATAGTGTCTGTCTGTATGGTGTGTGTGTGTGTCTGTCTGTGTCATGGTGTCTGTCTGTCTGTACGGTGTGTGTGTGTGTCTGTCTGTCATTGTGTGTATGTCTGTCTGTGTCATGGTGTGTGTATCTGTCTGTGTCATGGTGTGTGTGTCTGTCTGTCCATCATGGTGTGTGTGTCTGTCTGTGTCATGGTGTGTGTGTGTGTCTGTCATGGTGTGTGTGTGTGGCTGTCATGGGGTGTGTGTCTGTCCGTCATGGGGTGTGTGTCTGTCCGTCATGGGGTGTGTCTGTCCGTCATGGGGTGTGTGTGTGTGTCTGTCTGTCATGGGGTGTGTGTGTGTCTGTCATGGGGTGTGTTTGTGTCTGTCTGTCATGAGTTGTGTGTGTGTCTGTCTGTCATGGGGTGTGTGTGTGTCTGTCTGTCATGGTGTATATGTTTGTTTAAAAATAGTGTTTTTGCTCACCTTTTTTTCCCCACGCAGCGTGCAGTCTCCCCTCGACTGGCCCTGCCTCTATAGCTGAGATCATCAAGCTTGATGATCTCAGCCAATCCAATGCTTTGCCATAGGATTAGCTGCAAAGCCACTCCAATCAGCATCTCCTCATAGAGATGCATTGAATCAATGTATCTCTATGGGGAACGTTCAGCACCTACAGAGTGTGGAGGCCCTGAATGTAGGTGCACTAACACAGGAAGCACCTCTAGTGACCGTTTGAGTGACTGTCACTAGCAGTGTCACTTTGAAGCAATGTAAACACTGCCTTTTCTCTGAAAAGTCAGTGTTTACGTTGAAAAGCCTGTAGGGACATGCTATAGACACCAGTACCACCACATTAAGCTGTGTGTGCGTCTGCTAGTGAGTGAGCTTGCTTGCATGCGTGTGCCTGCTAGTGAGTGAGCCTGTGTTTTTATGTCAATGAGCTGATGTATATCAGTAAGATTGTTTGTCTATGAGGCTGTGTATTAATGAGCTTGTGTGTGTCATTGAGATGTCAGTGAAATTGCCTGTGTCTGCATGTGAGTATGCTTACTGTATAATTAAACTTTTTACCCTGAAAGGACCAATATTTTATATCAGAAAAAGCAATATATATATATATTACTCAATCATCTGTCATGGCAAGACATAGCCTTACATATTACACGCAACAATATATGGCGCAGTGACTTATGGGGCTGGCACACATTTTTTTTTCCAGGGCTGCTTTGTATCCCCAGTCCGGCCCTGCTAGATGGCTAGATAGCAAAGTGACCTAATGACAGTGACATGTTTAATGGGTTAAAGAGACAGTCCCATGTAGGAACAAAGTGACCTAATGACAGTGACATGTTTAATGGGTTAAAGGGACAGTCCCATGTAGGAGCAAAGTGACCTAATGACAGTGACATGTTTAATGGGTTAAAGGGACAGTCCCATGTAGGAGCAAAGTAACCTAATGACAGCGACATGTTTAATGGGTTAAAGGGACAGTCCCATGTAGGAGCAAAGTGACCTAATGACAGTGACATGTTTAATGGGTTAAAGGGACAGTCCCATGTAGGAACATAGTGACCTAATGACAGTGACATGTTTAATGGGTTAAAGGGACAGTCCCATGTAGAGCAAAGTGACCTAATGACAGTGACATGTTTAATGGGTTAAAGAGACAGTCCCATGTAGGAGCAAAGTGACCTAATGACAGCGACATGTTTAATGGGTTAAAGGGACAGTCCCATTTAGGAGCAAAGTGACCTAATGACAGCGACATGTTTAATGGGTTAAAGGGACAGTCCCATGTAGGAGCAAAGTGACCTAATGACAGCGACATGTTTAATGGGTTAAAGGAACAGTCCCATGTAGGAGCAACGTGACCTAATGACAGCGACATGTTTAATGGGTTAAAGGGACAGTCCCATGTAGGAGCAAAGTGACCTAATGACAGTGACATGTTTAATGGGTTAAAGGGACAGTCCCATGTAGGAACAAAGTGACCTAATGACAGTGACACGTTTAATGGGTTAAAGGGACAGTCCCATGTAGGAGCAAAGTGACCTAATGACAATGACATGTTTAATGGGTTAAAGGGACAGTCCCATGTAGGAGCAAAGTGACCTAATGACAGTGACATGTTAAATAGGGAGAGATATATAAAGTTAAAGAAGGAATTATTCTGATAAACGCTACTTCCCACGAACATTTACCATGATCTCCTGGAGGAGTGTGGAAGCTGGCTTCCTTCCTACCGACTATGGTCCAGGTCAGAGACCCCATTTGGGACTTACCCTGCCCAGCCACCATTATCAGCTTTCCCTCTGTGCCCCTGGTTCAGCACTTTCCCTTTATTTGAATGGAACAAAATGTTAGCTCCCTGGCGGCCGTTTGCATGATCCTCGAATGGTCCTCTGCGGTACTTAGCTGCGGCAGCCATGGAACTAATTTCAGCATGAGGACTTTGTGGTTCCTGGTTACCTCAGTGGCACTTAGCCATGGATGTTATGGAACTGTTTTAGGCATGAGGTGACCTTGCGGTTCCCGGACAACTAGGTGGGACACTTTTTTTATCACAGATCCGAGCCTACCTGTGTTGTGTGTACAGAACACGCCTTTATATGGAGAACACGGCATATTGTATGATTGCAGAGGATTTATCACAGATCCGAGCCTGCCTGTGTTGTGTGTACAGAACACGCCTGTATAGGGAGAACACGGCATATTGTATGATTGCAGAGGATTTATCACAGATCCGAGCCTGCCTGTGTTGTGTGTACAGGACACGCCTGTATAGGGAGAACTCGGCATATTGTATGATTGCAGAGGATTTATCACAGATCCGAGCCTGCCTGTGTTGTGTGTACAGGACACGCCTGTATAGGGAGAACACGGCATATTGTATGATTGCAGAGGATTTATCACAGATCCGAGCCTGCCTGTGTTGTGTGTACAGAACACTTGTATAGGAGAACACGTGCATATTGTATGATTGCAGAGGATTTATCATGACCGAAAGCCTTGCCTGTGTTGTGTGTACAGGACACGCCTGTATAGGAGAACACGGCATATTGTATGATTTGCAGAGGATTTAGATCACAGATCTCGAAGCCTGCCTGTGGGTTGTGTGTACAGGACACGCCTCGTATAGGAGAACACGGCATATTGTATGATTTGTGAGTGATTATCACAGATCCGAAGCCTGCCTGGTGTTGTGTACAGAACACGTTTCATAGGGAGAACACGCATATTGTGGCGATTGCAGAGGGTTTATCACAGATCCGAGCCTGCCTGTGTTGTGTGTACAGGACACGCCTGTATAGGGAGAACACGGCATATTGTATGATTGCAGAGGATTTATCACAGATCCGAGCCTGCCTGTGTTGTGTGTACAGAACACGCCTTTATAGGGAGAACACGGCATATTGTATGATTGCAGAGGATTTATCACAGATCCGAGCCTGCCTGTGTTGTGTGTACAGGACACGCCTGTATAGGGAGAACACGGCATATTGTATGATTGCAGAGGATTTATCACAGATCCGAGCCTGCCTGTGTTGTGTGTACAGGACACGCCTGTATAGGGAGAACACGGCATATTGTATGATTGCAGAGGATTTATCACAGATCCGAGCCTGCCTGTGTTGTGTGTACAGAACACGCCTGTATAGGGAGAACACGGCATATTGTATGATTGCAGAGGGTTTATCACAGATCCGAGCCTGCCTGTGTTGTGTGTACAGAACACGCCTGTATAGGGAGAACACGGCATATTGTATGATTGCAGAGGATTTATCACAGATCCGAGCCTGCCTGTGTTGTGTGTACAGAACACGCCTGTATAGGGAGAACACGGCATATTGTATGATTGCAGAGGGTTTATCACAGATCCGAGCCTGCCTGTGTTGTGTGTACAGAACACGCCTTTATAGGGAGAACACGGCATATTGTATGATTGCAGAGGATTTATCACAGATCCGAGCCTGCCTGTGTTGTGTGTACAGGACACGCCTGTATAGGGAGAACACCGCATAGCCAGGCGATTGCAGAGGATTTATCACATGCAGATCCGAAGCCTGCCTGTAAGTTGTGTGTATTGGTGGCTTCTGTATAGGAGAACACGCATATTGTATGATTGTGTGAGGATTTATCACAGATCCGGAGCCTGCCTGTGTTGTGTGTACAGAACACGCCTGTATAGGGAGAACACGGCATATTGTATGATTGCAGAGGGTTTATCACAGATCCGAGCCTGCCTGTGTTGTGTGTACAGAACACGCCTGTATAGGGAGAACACGGCATATTGTATGATTGCAGAGGATTTATCACAGATCCGAGCCTGCCTGTGTTGTGTGTACAGAACACGCCTGTATAGGGAGAACACGGCATATTGTATGATTGCAGAGGGTTTATCACAGATCCGAGCCTGCCTGTGTTGTGTGTACAGAACACGCCTGTATAGGGAGAACACGGCATATTGTATGATTGCAGAGGATTTATCACAGATCCGAGCCTGCCTGTGTTGTGTGTACAGAACGCGCCTGTATAGGGAGAACACGGCATATTGTATGATTGCAGAGGATTTATCACAGATCCGAGCCTGTCTGTGTTGTGTGTACAGAACACGCTTGTATAGGGAGAACACGGCATATTGTATGATTGCAGAGGATTTATCACAGATCCGAGCCTGTCTGTGTTGTGTGTACAGGACACGCCTGTATAGGGAGAACACGGCATATTGTATGATTGCAGAGGATTTATCACAGATCCGAGCCTGTCTGTGTTGTGTGTACAGGACACGCCTGTATAGGGAGAACACGGCATATTGTATGATTGCAGAGGATTTATCACAGATCCGAGCCTGCCTGTGTTTATTGACAAGCACATGATTGCTCTGGGTAATATTAATATGCTGAAACATTTCTCCTTTATCATTGCACAACTAAACTGATAAAACTGGAACCTTTTTCCAATGATTAAAGGGAAATTATTTGGAGTGTATAATCTATCATCCCTCCTTTCATCCCTTCCTATTACGCCCAATATTGATGTTCTATAATATCATGTTTTTCAATGGGTCCAGTTAGCTGGAAATTATAGACCCTGTATAGGGAGAACACGGCATATTGTATGATTGCAGAGTCATTCATCATCCTGTATTCTCTGGCTTAACAGAAAGTATAAGGAGAACTATATGGAATAACAGGAGTTATAGGGAGTAATGGGAGGAGTAATAGGGAGGGTTATATGGAATAACAGGAGTTATAGGGAGGGTTATATGGAGTAATAGGAGGATTTATAGGGAGGGTTATATGGAGTAATAGGAGGATTTATAGGGAGGGTTATATGGAGTAATAGGAGGAGTTATAGGGAGAGTTATATGGAGTAATAGGAGGGGTTATAGGGAGGGTTATATGGAGTAATAGGAGGGGTTATAGGGAGAGTTATATGGAGTAATAGGAGGAGTTATAGGGAGGGTTATAGGAGTAATAGGAGGAGTTATAGGGAGGGTTATATGGAGTAATAGGAGGAGTTATAGGGAGGGTTATATGGAGTAATAGGAGGAGTTATAGAGGAGGTTATATGGAGTAATAGGAGGAGTTATAGGGAGGGTTATATGGAGTAATAGGAGGAGTTATAGGGAGGGTTCTATGGAGTAATAGGAGGATTATAGGGAGGGTTATATGGAGTAATAGGAGGAGTTATAGGGAGAGTTATATGGAGTAATAGGAGGGGTTATAGGGAGGGTTATATGGAGTAATAGGAGGGGTTATAGGGAGAGTTATATGGAGTAATAGGAGGAGTAATAGGGAGGGTTATAGGGAGTAATAGGGGGGTTATAGGGAGGGTTATATGGAGTAATAGGAGGAAATTTTTTTTTTTTTTTTTATTAAATTTTCTTACAACAAATTACAAAACAGTGTTCAATGTATCAAAAACATATACAAAAATACAATTAAAAACAAAATGTCATGTCTATATTTTCCCAACAATCTGTATTTTGTTCTTTTACATATACATCTTTTATGTCTTTAATTATCCGATTAATCACAGAGTCCGTAGTTAAAATAATTTGTTTTGATGATTTTAAACACCTCGCTTGCCATAAATGATATATAACAATACAATTAATTACATATAAAGTGCATTTGTTAATCTTATCTGCCCAATTGAAATTTCCATATACTAATTCAGCATAGGACTGTCCTTTAAAATTTGGTATTTTAAGAAGTGTGGACATTTCTGACCATATTGCTAAACTAAAGGGACAGTCACACAAAAAATGAGACATTGTTTCTAATATCCCTGAACATTCTTCCCTCGGACAATTTCGTTCCTCAAGTTTTTTAAATTTCAAATTAGAGCGAACGTATAATTTTCCTTGAAAACTAAGCCAAATAACATCTCTCAATTTAATTGGTATTCTCGTGCTAGTAACATTCTGAATGGCTTTTTTCATTAAGGTATTAGGGCAGTCTTTTAAAACCAACTGGGCACTATAGTACTTATTTAACAGAACATGATATAATTGTTTTCTATCTAGCCCAGTGATATCTTCATATGAAATTTGCCATCTCAGCAACAACTTTATACATTGCTGAGCATATAGAGAGCAATGTTTAACCTTACCAGACAATCTTTTGATCTTTACACCTCTTGTCCAAACTCCAACAAAGTGATTAATTTGGTTTTTATATAAGATTCCCCATAAATCTGTTCTACCAGATTTAAAAAAAACTTAAATTCTTGGTTATAAACAAGAGATTGTAAAAAAGTTCTGGACACAACATGCCTAATCCTCCATCTTTCCTATGGAGATAGGAAATGTTACGTTTAACAATATTTAAACGATTACCCCATATTAGCTGGAACAACAAACCGGTTATCTTAACCACTAATTGATCAGGTAATGGAAAGACAAAACTTGTATAAATAAAAATGGGGAATAAAAATCGTTTGATAGCTTGAATTTTCTTTTGGTAAGACCATTTCCAATTTTTCCATTTGTGTATTTTATCTGAGAATATTTTAAATTTATCATCCCAATTTCTCTGGGCAATGTCTTCAACACATCCATATGTAATACCCAACACTTTGATTGTTTTATCCTTTCTTTTAAAAGGGATTTGAAAAGCTTCTGCATTATCCCCCAGCCACAATGCTTCACTCTTCTCCATATTAACCATAGAGTTGGAAATTTGAGAATAACTTTTAAGTTCCCTTTGTAACAATTGGTTATCTGCTTCTGATTTCAAAAAAACAGAAATATCATCTGCATAAGCACAAACTTTGATTCTCTCGGAAACACCTTCTACTTTCACTTCTAGGCCTTGAAAATTATGGTTTCCTTTTATTTTCCTTAATAGAGGGTCAATGCTAAAAACATAAAGCAAAGGACTTATAGGACAACCCTGACGAACTCCAGATTCAACCTGAAAAGGGTCTCCCAAACTACCATTAATTAAAGGGAAACATATTGCTTCTTTATATAATATCTTCAACCATTTAATAAAAGTATTAGGAATGCCATATCTCCGTAAAGTCTCAAATAAAAATTCATGATGTACTCGGTCAAATGCTTTGGACTGGTCTAGTCCTACCAAATAAATACCTTCTCTCTGCTGCTTAGCGTATTCCACCACCTCTCTTACTAGCAACAGTGTATCCTGTATGCTACGATTCTTAACTGCACACGACTGACACGGACTTACCAAAATTTCAGCCACCGCACTAAGCCTCATAAACATGACTTTTGCAAGAATTTTGTAATCAGTATTCAATAATGATAACGGACGCCAGTTCTTTAGTTCATTCAAATTACCACTTTTAGCTAAAAGTACCAAGACTGAGGCATACTGTGAGGGCGGCAACTGTCCCAGAGTTAGCACTTCATTATATAGCATTACAAGATCCGTTACCAAAAGATCTAAAAACACTTTATAAAACTCTGCAGTTATCCCATCCAATCCTGGACTTTTCTTCCCAACTAATGATTGAATGCTATTTCTAACTTCTTCCTCTGTTATAGGCTTAACCATGGTCTCAGCATCCACTGCATTTAATACCGGATTATCAACATCTTGCAAATATTTTACAATATTTTCATTTGCAATAGGCTGTCTTGCAAACAATTGTTTAAAATATTTTGTGACAATATTTATAATGTCCTTACTTTCTGTTTGTGTTTCACCATCTTGATCTACCAGTCCTGCTATGGCTTTCTTACATACTCTTTCCTTACACGCTTGAAAAGGATCTGGGGCTGTGAAACCCCAACTATCGAATTCATTTTCAGCTTTTAGAGAGATCATACGGTCATATTGAAGTTTTTTCATTTTATCCTTAACTTGATTAATGCTATTTGAATTCACTGTCTCACCATTATTGACCAAGGAATATAATCTACTAAGTCTAAGTCTTAGAGCAAGATATTGCATATATTGACGATTTCCTTCTTTTCTAGCTTTTGATTTAAAAAAACTTTTAATATCTTTTTTTGTTTGTTCCCACCAACTCGACATCGTGTCGTATAAGAACTGCGTGGTTTTTCGATCTTCATAAAAAGTAATGAATTCTTGCTTAACTTTATCATTATCAAGTATTCTTGAGTTTAGTTTCCAGATAACTTTCCCATATATTATTCCTTCCTTTACCTTTAAGGACAGACTAATCATATCATGATCTGAAAACTCTACCAAGACTAAATTATATCTAAAAGATGAAGTTTGATTTTTTACATAGAGTCTATCTATACGACTTGCCCACCTCCCTTTATGATATGTAAACCCTCGCTGTGTAGGATAATTATATTTAAAAGTATCAATCAGACCAGCTTGACTGATCAGAGTTTTTAGAAAGTTTTCATCATATTTTAAATTTTTATAATTACTATTTCGATCTTCATTATTTACCACACCGTTAAAATCACCTCCCATAATCAACACTTTGGATGTGAAACAATATGGTTTTACACTTAAAAACACTTTTTTCCTACCTGCTATTATCTGAGGAGCATATATATTAATTATTCGATATCTCACATCATTAAGCGTAAAATCTAACAAAAGGCATCTACCTGCAACAATTTCCACAATCCGATCAATTTGAAAATCACAGTTCTTAAACAAAATACCCACATCATCATAACTTTCCAGTCCAAATGACCAATAAGATGGGCCCATTGTCCACTCTCTTTTAGCACAAAAAACCTGGCTATTATTTCTTAATCTTGTCTCCTGTAATAAACACACATCAAATGATTGTTCTTTCAGAACAGTATAGAGTAAGTCTCTTCTCTCTTTTGATCTCAAACTGTTGACATTAAGCGAGCATATATGTAAAGTCATGAAAACCAAGGAGACTCAGCGCTTCTTCTTTACTGCTCCTATATTGTCACCTTGAGATCCCCATCGTTTTATTGAAACAGAGGCAGTTGCTTCTTCTTCACAGAACAACTGCAATTCTTCTGTGGATCGCCTTTTCCAGAGAGATCCTTCACTCTGTTTAAACTCCATGGCATCTTCACTAGGTTCATCCAGGATAGCATAGCGACCAGCAGTTATCTCAAATGACGAAAGCATCTGAGGAGGTTTTTGTGACTCACGAGTACCTGAATATTTTAATTTCTTCTTGTGTTTTCCCTGCACCAACTGAAATTCCTCACTGTTTTTTTCTAATATTGGACCCTTTTCAACATTTAATGGAGATTGTATTTCCTTGGCGTCTTTCCTTAAGATGTTTTCTGGCTCAGTAATGTCATCTTTCTGTGGCTCATTTGTATCTTGTTTCTCAGTTGTATTGGACTCTTCCATTGCTTCAGTAAGTATGCTTTCCAAATCTAGCACACAGTCGTTTATCTTATTATGGTGTGCTTCTGGGCACTCTCTAAAGGTATGACCTTGTACAGAACATAAGTTGCAT